CCGTGTTGTAACATGTGTCAGAATTTCCTACCTTTTAAAGGCTAAATCACATTCCGTTGTATGTATAGACACATTTTCTTTATCTACTTATGCATCAATGCACACTTTTGTTGCTTCCACCTTTGGGTATTGTGAATAATGTTGCTGTGAAATTAGGTGTACAAATACCTCTTTGAGAGCCTGCTTTCAATTCTTTTGGGCATATATCCAGAGGTGGAATTCCTGGATCATTTGGAAATTCTATTTTTATCTTTTTGAGGAGAACCTCCATGCTGTTTCCCACAGTGGCTGTACCATTTTACATTCCCACTAACAGTACACAGGGTTTCTGTTTTTCTACATCCTTGTCAACATTTATTATTTTCTTTTTTTTTTTTTATATAGTAGCCATCAAGTGGTATCTTAACAGTAGTTTTGATTTGCTTTCCCTAAGTGATGTTGAGCATCTTTTTTCATGGCCAAAATGTTTACTTTTAAAGGAATAAAGTAGAATTTTTTTTAAGATTAGTTATTAAAACAGAACTTATACAGGGGAGGGAAGAATAAATGGAAAATACATGCAGCAGCAGTTTAGAGTCCCAACAGTTCAACCTTCCTCTCAGGCACCAGGAGAAATGTCTGTTCAGGATGAAGGAAGCAGGGCTTGATGCCCATTACTGTCCTGGCCCCTAGGTAGCGCCCAAGAGCAGAGCACCCTGGTGGCTCTCCCCAAGGGATCCAAGTTTCCATGGAAGGCTCCAGGGATCTGCCCAGGTGCCCCTGTTTTCCCCCAGCTGTGCAGGGATGTAGAGAAGCCAGCTGTAGCAGAACCTGTCTCTCAAACAGATACAGCCCTGTGAGGCACCATTGATTTCACTCATATCCACATCCCTAGAATCAGCAACACTAAATTCTTCATTCACCCATTTATTCAATAAATACGTACCAACTGCTCCTGTTTTCCAAGTGCTGAGACCCACATTTGCAACAGGATGGTCGAAACAGGTTTGGGTTACAAGCTGAATACATAACAGCAGGCAGGAATAAAGAGACGAACATCTCACCCCAGAGGCCCACTTTTCAGAGTGGGTGATGTAGCCAGTGGTGAGCAAGTACATAAGATATGCCCCTTTATAAGGTGGGATATTGCTTGTGGCTCTGTAGCATGACAAAATGAACAAGGTGCAACAGGGACTTGGAGTCAAGTAGTCGTGGATGATTCTTAGCCCAGACAGCTGACCGAGCTCTGCACGAGGCAGAGGTGATGTCCCTGTGTTACTTTCCTAGGCTAGATCAGCTCAAAATGCATCTCTGTGGGGCTGAGACCAACCTTCTCATCTCCTAAGAAAAAGGAAACATTAATTAAGCATCTGTGGGTCTGGGACCATGCTAAGTACTTTATATATATCACAGGATAACATTTGTAGCTATTAATCTGTGCTTTTCTTCTAGTGGCCTGGGCAGGAGAAGGATCTCAGAGAGGAACAGCTGTGTGGGTCCCAGACTCTGGGGATATCCTCAGTCACTGGGATGGCTCAGCCACGGCAGGGTTCGCAGACTTGAAATAACTCAGGAAAATAGAAGTCTTGGTGGTGAGCAGTGCAGACAGGGCATCCTGAGACCCAGACTCAGGCTTGGATTTGTTCTTACCCTACTGTGTGTGTATTTTGTGGGAACAGCCCTGAAAATAGATAAGGTTGAATTTTTTCCTTACCTGGCAGGGTGAGAGCTCAGAGTCAAAATTAAGTTGATTTGCATGTTGCCAAGGTAGCAGGTAACTGGAACTCTTGTACATTGCTGTAGGAGTGGAGAATGATCTTCCACTCTGGAAAAGAGGGAGAGGGAGCAATTTATTATAAGCACATGCTTAGGTCTCTTATCCTGCTACCCAGCAATTCCATCCCTAGGCATTTACTCAAAAGATATGAGAACATATATTCACACAAAGACTTGCTCTTTGCTCTTCATTGTAGCTTTATTCATAATGGCCTCAAACTGTAAACACCGTGAAATCCACCAGCAGGGGAATGAATAAAAAATTGCAGTATTTTCCCATAAAGGAATACCTTTCAGCCATGAAAATGAGTGGACCACTGATACCTGCAACAACATGGGAGAATTTCACAGACAACATACTAAGTGAAATTCCATTCAGAAGTATCTGTAGGGGCAGAAAGAAAGTAGTGGCCTGAAGCTGGTGTGGGGGGAGGGATTGCTGCAAAGGGCAGGGGGGTCCATTTTGGGGTGTTGGTAATGTTCTATAACCTGATTGTGGTGGTGGTTCCACTGGAGTAAGCATTCTGCAAAGCCGATCAAACTACAAACTTAAAACTGATGCATTTCATTGTATGTGTGACTTAACACATGGAAGAGACAATGAAGAGATACAATGTTTACTGCACATTGGAATTTGTGCAGCCTGTCAGACCCACTACAAAGATTATTTTATTTAATCTTCATAATGCCATCGTAAAATAGCTACTGTCACCCTTTTGCAGGCTATAGGGAAATCACTCCCAGTCCTTCCTCCTCCTGTTTCTCCTTACTCTCACACCACCACCACAATGATCACACTTCTGACACCAGGTGTGGGGGGCGGGTTCCCCACAATAAGCAATTTCCTGTGATACAAGCTGGGTGTCCTACAATTTAACTCAGTTCTGATGCTATCTACCTGGAGACAGCATCTGATCCTGCACACTAAGGATTCAGTCCTACAGGACTACTCCCCCTTCCCTTCAGACATCATTGCCAAGTCCAGGCTGTTTCCTATGCTTGTGACCAACCAGCTACAGACTGCAGGTTGGTTCCCACCACCCTCTCCTTGGGTTCAATTAGTTGTCTTTAGCAGCTCATAGAACTTGGAGATACATTTTAGTTACTGGATTACCAGTTTATTATAAAAGGATATAATTCAGGAAGAGCCACATGGAACAGATGTACAGGGCAGGTACGGGGAAAAGGCGTGGAGCTCCCATGCCCCAATCTCTATGTTGTTCACCAACCCAAAACTCTGAGAACCCTGTGCTTTGGGGGTTTCTTTGCAGGCTTCATTATGTAGGTATGATCGGTCATTAACTTGGGAAGATGGGGAATGGGGCTGAAAATTCCAAGCTTCTCCTCATGGCTTGGTCTTTTTGGTGACCAGACTTCATCCAAGAGTCACTTCACTAGGACAAGAACACTCCTGGCACCCAGGAAATTACAAGGGTTTTGGGAACTCTGTGCTAGGTATCAGGGTGGGGGGAAGACATCAATACATCTACTTCTATTATCTCACAGGAATCAGGGCTTAGAGAAAACCACTCCAGTTGTGCTTGCGTGCACATCTAACAAACACCACAGACAGTCATTAGCAGAATACCTGCCCACTCTCAGGAAGGCTGGAGAATGTCCAAGCAATAAACCAAGTGTGGGAAATCAACTTCCACCTTAGGGATGCAGATCTAGTTGGTCTGGGAGCAAAGGTGTGTATAGATTGTGAAAGTGGTGGACCTGTACCTACAGGTGCATTGGGTCAGGGTGCACATGCATTCCTGCTTTGGCAGCATGGGAGAAATGCTACAGGGAGTTTCCCTGAACCCCTTTGCTTCCTGCAGCTCATGCAAACCAGGTGTTTGCTCCCAAGTCACTGAGGGAGCCTGCCACCTCCTCTCCCTGTTCCTTTCTTTCTGTTGGGTTTCCTGACACAACTCTAGTGAAACTCATGCCCTGGCAACCGGGCCATCCTTCCTCTCCTCACCCCCTGCCCTCTGTGCCCAGTCTTGGGCTCCTCACTCATTCATGGATCAGAATCTCTGAACCAGAAATGAGTCCTAGGTAGGAGTGGGAATCCAGAGAGAAAAATAATAGCAAATCCCCCTAATATGAGCCTTAATGCCTATTCTTTATTGAGAGGCTTTGCTGTGTATATTAGGGGGTGAGGGCTTTGTGATGAAGGCACAGTCCTGCTCTCAAGATGTTCACAGTCTAGCAGGAAAAAAGAGAAATGCCCATGGAATTTCATCCCAGAGTGCCCAGAGCCGCCAGCAGGGTGGTGCCATGCCTGACCTGGGGAGAGAGGCCACACTGCCACTGTACTTCCCTCCATGTTCTCACCGCTCCCCTGGGAAGCCCAGGGGGCAGGGCCCTTAAATCAAGAGCATAACACCTGGGTGAATGGCTGGGTGGCCAAGTGAGATGGTCTTGGCAGGGGTGGTGTTTTCCAGGCGAGGACTGTCAGGGCCTCTTCTGCCCCCAGAGAGTGGCCTGAGGGGCCCAGGACAGATCGGGCTCTGCCGCTGGGATGAAGTCATCGAGGCCACCACTGAGCAAGAAAATACGGTGACAGCGCATCACTGTTGAGGCACTGGTGATTTCTTCCTCTTGCCCTTTGTCCTTTCAGTCAGAGGGGCTGTTTTCCCTTCCATCTGGGAAGGGGGCAAAGGGGTGGAGGGCAGAAAAAAGAGTCTTCCAGGCTTTGGCTTCTAAGCTTTTGGAACGGAGAGGACTTTTGGCTTTCTAAGCTCAGGGGAACGGAGAGGGCTCTGGGCAGAAACAGGATTTGGGAGGGAGGAAGGGGGCTCTCAGCTCCCCAGAGAAAGTGCCTCGGTCCTGGTCTGTGAGCCTCAGCCTGGACAGGGTGGGGGCTCTGAGCTCACTGAAGCAGGGCTTGGTAGGGGCCCACCGCCTGCCGCCTCACGCTTGCTTCCTACTGGTCTAAAGCAAGCGACCTGTCCCGTCTCAGAGACACGGCCTTCTCCCACGGCTCCAGCGTGGGGCTGGTGTGGGCTGCCTGGGGGGAAGTGGCGGTGAGGTGGGCCGGTTCCTCCTCCCTCCCTGGTCCCCCTTCCCTCCCCTACCACTCTGGGCCTTGCTCCTCTGGCCCTTGAGTGCCCCAGCGCTCTAGCCTAGCCCGCCCTCTGCCCCTGCAGCTGTGGTGGTGGGGTGCTCCTCCCTGCCTGCTCATCACTCACCTGCTCCCTGTAACTTGCAGGACAGGAATCTTTCCGGCTTTATTCCGGCCCTGGCTGCATCTCTAGCACCTCACAGCCCGGCTGGCGTGCAGCAGGCACCAAACAAGGATTTGTTTAGTAAAATCTGTCAGTTCAGGTAGGAAGGAGGAGAGCAGAGAGCAAGCAAGAAAGGTGGAGCAGGGGCAGCTTCTGCAGGGGTTGAGGAGCCTCCATCCCAGTCCCCGCCGACCATGCAGGTCCCCAGGCTGCTGCTGCCCATCTGCGCCGCAGGTAAGGTGCAGCCTCGGGAGGCCTGGGCTCCACACATGGCCAAGGCTTGGGGCTGAGGGCAGGGTGCTTTACCCTGAGGTGCTCTGATTTCGAGGATGAAGGGGAGGCAAAGTGGAAAGAAATGCGGAAATGCGCGTTTGCCCCTTGGGGGCCAAGCCTGGGCCTGCAGCTACCTCAGCCGCTGTGTGGGCTCCTCATCCCTCCCAACCTACGGGCCCAGGGGCCAGGACACAGAATTTGCTGTTCTGCATGTCATTTCACTCATTCTTCATTTATGCATCTGACCTATAAATATTTACTAAGTGCCTAATTGGAGCTAGTCAGAAATGGTGCCTGACTTCATCAAGATACCATTCTGGTGGGGGTTATAGACCTTCGGCCAGAACAGAGTAAACCTGATTGTTCCAGGATGTGGCAGACGCAGTGAAGGAGATAACTGGGGTGACGCAAGGGGACAGCCACAGGGAGAGGCCTGTGGGAGATTCTTTAAATAATGTGACCCATTAGATCCTAAAATTGATTTAGAGGGCTGCGGCCAGTGATTTTAGAAAAGGATACAGAATAGGATAAAAAATACCAAAGTGAGTCACACCTCATAAGAAAGTAATTTTTTTCTGATTCCCTTTCTCTGGTACAGGGATCCTCCAACTTTTCTCGGTGACAGGCAGCATCTTGGACTCTGGTGGGTGTGAGCAGCTTCGATCCCTCTGGCAAGTCCTCCTGGGTCCTGTCTGCTGTCCTTCCCATGCTCCTGGGTCCTGTCTGCTGTCCTCCCCATGCTGTGCAAGCTCTTGCCCCTCTGTACGCCGGGTTCTTCAGGCTTGCTTTGCTCTCCTAGGGCATCTGGCTTGAGGCCAGTTTCTTACAGCCTGGAGTCCCCAAGAGGTCCCACTCCTCTCTGCCCTATGCACAGGCAGGTCCTGAGTGAGCACAGTAGCCATGACTGGCCTCTGTTTGCTGGGACACCCCACCACCGCCCCCGGCCAAGAGCCTGGAGTCAGGAAGGAAGCAAGCAAACACCGAGATCTTGGGGGTGGTTCCTGGGAGAAATTTGATTTGTTCATTAGCTCTTTCATTCATTCATTCATTCTCATCACACTGAGCCCTTCTGATGTGCTGGGCTCTGGGAGTACACTGATGAATCAACAAGGCTTGTTCTTTGCTCCTGAGTTGCCTGGACCTGATGGTGGAGACAGATAAGCTAAATGGTCCTTTCCCTGAGGGGGTTTAAAGAATTCTGATGCTGGTCCCAGCAAATTCAGATCCTTGCTGTGGAGTAGTTGCGACTCAGTGCCTTTGAAAGCTCCCAGGGGATTCTGATGCACAGCCCTGGTTCCGAGCCTGTGGCAGTGCCATGCTATGGTTAAAGGTCTGGACCTGGAACACCCAGTCACGGTCCTTGGGTCCTGTTTCTACGCCTTTCCACTGGGTGGCCTTGGGCAAGTCATCTGACTCTCTGACTTGGTTCCTTCCTTTGGAAGACAGGCATAGTGATATCGATCTTCAGGAGCTGTTGGGAGGACTCCATGAGCTAATGGCTCATCGGGAGTGTTCAGTATGTGGTCTATGGTTACTAAGCACTAACACAGGTGTGTGGCAGCAGGTGGGAAGGGGGCCTACCCGGGATGGGACAGAGGAGTGGGGAGTTAGCTGGGTAAAGGGAAGGGGGTGATGAGGGAATGGGAGAATAGGGGCTTCAGGGAGCAGGCAGGGGAGGCTAGTCCTTTCAGGACAAGAGAGTAGCTTGTGCAAAGGCCCAGGGGCAGAGCTCTGTGCAACTGGAGGGCCAGTGGGGAAGGTTGGGAGAGAAAAAGCTGGGGAGTCTGCCTGTGCTGTGACTGAAAGCTCTTTGGGGAAGGGGGAGGGGGCAGCTACATGGTGACAACCTCTCCTGCCCCAGCCTTGCAGCTGCTGAGCAACGACAGGTCCTTCTTGAGAGTGGAGGAGGAGCTGAGCTGGTCCGAGGCCCTGAAGCACTGCCGGCGACACCACACAGACCTGGCTGACTTGCAGAGCATGAATAGCATGAGCAGCATAAAGAACCTCTACTCCCTCACCAGCAGCACCGAGGCATGGATCGGGCTCTTCTTTGACAAGCACATTGGTGGCCTGAGCTGGTCCAGCGGTTCCACGTTCACTGCCCCAGTATGGACCTCGCTGCCAGTCTTCCGGGAGGGCATCTGTGCCACTCTGTATTCCATGTCCATCTTCCCCAGCCTGGGGGCTGCCTCGTGCACGGCTCAGAAGCCCTTCATCTGCTACTATGGTGTGTTCAGAGTCACATTCTGGGCCTGGTCTTTCTCCCAGGGTTGCATTTCAAGAGCAAATGAGAGAGAGAGAGATGCAGCAAGAGGGGGTAGTGAGTGCACTCAAGTCTTTGAGAGGCTCACAGACTTCTCTTCACCCTTTGGTGGCAGTCCCTCTTCCCCAAGACTCCAACAGAGAAGCAGGTGTAAATCAGGGTAGACAAAAAGTAAAATCCGGTATGTTCCACTGTGTCCCCTCCTTCTGCCAATTAAGGATTTAGGGGATGAAGAAAGTGAAAGGGATAGGGTTGGTGTGTGTGTGGTGGTGGTGGGGTTTACAAACTGAACAGCCCTTTCCTGGTCAAAGCGCCAGTTTCTGTTTATCTCTAGGTCAGGCAAAAGCCAGCTCACCCTAAGCCACCCTAACCTCACACAGGGACATGGAGATGTCTCCAGGTCTCTGTCACACCATGCCTGTCCTGAGGCCTTGAAACATAGCCCCTGGGGTCCTAGGTATGTCCTCCAGGTTCCCAAGCCAGTTGAGTGGTGAGTGCCAGGTGGGGTTCCCCTCCAAGGTAGGGCTGTGTGCCAGCCTCCCCTGCTCCCTCTGGTACTTCAGGGCTCCACTGAGGCACTTGTCGCCACCCACTTCTCTCCTCTGAAGCCCACCACCAGTCAGCACTCTCACTACCCCTCCTGGGTGCTGCCTGCCCCCTCTCCCCAGTCTGTCCTTGCACCCACTGAGCTCTTATGAATGTAAATCAGATCATAGATACTCTGCTTAAACAGGCAACATGCTCCCTTAGCAGTACAGTCACATTCCTTTGCAGCCCACCAGGCCCTGCTTGACCTCTTTGGCCTTGTCTCCCTCTCTCCCTCCACAGGCCTGCTTTCTGCTCTGTAGACACACACGGTTCCTTCCCACTCACCCTTGGCCTTTGCTTTGTCTGGGCCTCTCCCTTCCACATCTGCAAGGCTGCCTTGTCCTCATCTTCTCTTCAAGAGCAGGATCCTGCTTGTCTTATTTCTGCTATGTTCCCAGGGCCTAGAACAGTGTCTGTCACACACTAGGTGCTCACGAGACACAGTTATTGAATTAATGTATTAATGTTGATAGGAAAGGCGAGCCTGCTTTCCTTCTAGCGAGGCTTCTCCGGAATTCAGCCTGGCTGTTCATGTGCACAGAGGATGCCAGGTGGCCCCACTCTGTGCCACAACGTGTGGTCTGTTTTGGTTTTACAGACCCTGCCGTGGGGCACCGCATCTCCACAGAGCCCGCTCTCAGCCTGACGACACCTCCAAAGCCAGGTATGCACCTAGGAGCCTCCCTTTGACTTGTCCGCCTGGACCAGCTGACAGGTCATGCCACCTGTTCCCTCTGCTCCTTCCACCACTGCCTGGCTGAGGGATCCCCTGGCTTGGCTGCCTCCGGGCTGCCACCCATGGAAAGGATCAGTGTCTTTATTATTCAGAGGACCAGACAGAGAAGTGACCTGCTCAAGGTCTCCAATGAGACAGTGGCGCTGCTCAGGCTGTGTCCCAGCTCTTCCGATGCCCCCATTCTGGTAGCTTGGGGTCAGGGGCATGGGTACCCCTTTGTCACAGCTCAGGCCCATCCATCTGGTGAGGGGAACTTCCCCCTCTGGATATTACTGCCTTGGTATAATTTTTTTAAAAGTCTGATATAGTCAAATCCAGTCTGCTTTTGGAGTGTCCTTTCTACATTTATGGACTGTGGAGAGAGGATGAGGCTTCCAAGGCAGGCAGGTCTCCTCTGGATCTCGTTCCACTACTTTGCATGACATGAGTTTGGAAGTCATTACTTCCCCGAGCTTCCCTTTTCTCACCTGTAAAATGAGGTTAATAACATCTCCCTCTCAGGATTATTGTGAGGATTTAAAAGGGTGACGTATGCCACACGCATAGCTTGGGCTGGTGACGGCTTAATGGAGGGTAGCTGTAAGAACTTGGTTTAGATAGGGAAAGTTAGGGGAAGAACAGGCAAATCTTGATGGGCGTAGGTGAGCAGGTGTGCATCAGAGAGTCTGGGACGCCCTATTTGAATCCAAGGATATGGTTCCCAGTTCTGCAAACAGAGGTGTTTCCTATCAGGTTTGTGGGAGCTGATGGGCATCTTTTCTGAACCGCCATTGTTTAGAATCTCAGATGCATGTATGGGCTTGTGGGCTACAATTGAGACAGGCCTGGTGAGGGGTGGGGCAGCCGGAGAGGGGCGCCCCATCCAGCCTGGGGCAGGGACTGGAGGTAGAGGCTGGCACCCTGGTCTCTGGGCTCCAACATTAGTCAGGGCCCCTAGAGACAGGCCCATTCTTCCCTTGTCCAGAAGGTCTGTCCCTTCCAGGCTCTCCTTTTGTCCCTGGCTCTCTTGACGTTGTGAAGAACATCACACACTTCCTCTCTTCTGCCTCCTCTCTGGAGCCCCTGAGAGCCACTGTGGCAGGAGCAGCCTCTGCAGATTACAAATACGGCTGACTCCAGGCCAGGATTGCCCAATCTTCCCTTGTTTCCTCCCCTGAACGTTTAACTACCATTTAATTCAGTCCCTCTATTTGCATGCACTGTGCTATACATGGTTGCAGTTAATCCTTTAAATTAAACAAACTTTGGTACTGTTGTTATTCCCATTGCACAGATGTAAAAATTGAGACGTAGACTTAATTTTTAAGGCCAAATAGACTTGAGGAGAGCTCTTAACACCTGCTTTTCCTAATTTTCTCTCCCCCTACCCCAGCTGCTCTTTTAATAGCTTTTGCATTCTCCCAATCTGATACTTAATCTGCCTATAACATTTGGGTTTGATTAACCTTAACACCCAGGGATGGGGGCTAAGGACAGGTCAGACCAGAGCTCTGTTCCTGGGGGATGACAAGGGCTGGGCTGTCAGGGATCTGGGACCTCAGGCCTGTTGTCTCCATGTTTTTTGCCCCCAGCTGTGGTCCAGATTGGCAGACAGACCTTCATGCGATTTGGCCAAGAAGTAACGTGGCTGGCAGCCCTGCTGTACTGTCGCAGCCACCATACAGACCTGGCCGACCTACAGGCAGTGACTGACGAGGCAGGCACGGAGGCCTTGAAGACTGTCACGAGTGAGACTGAGGCTTGGATTGGCCTCTACTTCAATGCAGCCTCTGGATCTCTGAGCTGGTCCAGCGACTTGGGCACCAGCATCCCCACCTGGCTGCAGGTGCCCCAGTTCGGGACAGGACTGTGTGCGGGGCTTCGCACCTATGCGCGCTACAAACCCAGAGTTTATTCAGTGGCCTGCTCTTCCCTGAAGCCCTTCATCTGCTTCTACGGTGCGTGACAATCCAGCCCCTGGCCCTCAGCCCACTGAGGGGAAAGGGCGGGGAAATGGGTCTGCTTGGCACCAGGAGACACGGAGGATATACCTAAGGTAGCATGGTCAGGTGCTGAGTTCTGGAGCAAGCTTTATTTTAGGTCTGGGGATCTTCAAAGGCTGAAGGACCTGTCCAGCCTCAGGGTGTAAGCAGTTAGCCATGGCAGTTAGATATTGGGCAATGAGGTGGTTAAAAGCATCAGCTTTGGAATCTGACAGACTTTACTACTTGTTAGAGATAAGGCGGGCAGCATCTCTGAGCCTCCTTTCCCTCATCTGGAAAATACATTTAACAAAGTGGTATTGATGATGCCTGCCTCATAGGATGGCCTTGAAGACGGAATGAGACTGTATAAAGGACCTCGGGGAGGCCCAGGCAGAGTGCGCCCCCAACAGCCATTAGCTATTGTCACTGCCACTCTGTCTGGGAACCAGCAGGCCCCCTGTGTGTCCTTTCCTTTTCTCTTCTCTTTCTCTGCTTTTCACTTTTTTTGTAACAGCTTTATTGAGATATAATTCACATACCTTAAAGTTCATTCTTTTGAAGTGTCCAAGTTAGCAGGTGTTAGTACATTCACGGGGTTGTCCAAGCAACCCTACTGCCTAATTTCAGGGTTCTATGCCACCCCAAATGGAAGCCCTCACCCTTTAGCAGTCACTCCCCATTCCCCAACTCCCACCCTCAGTCCTGAAAGCCACTGATCTACTTTCTGTCTCTGTGGATTTGTCTACTCTTGGTTGTTTCCTTCGGTGGTTTGGATGTGATGAGAATCATGATCATTATTTGTAAAACCAGAAGGTTGGTTCCTGCTGTAAAGAGCTGTGAGGAGGATTAAAGGCTGTGCTGGGTGGTGGGGGTACAGTACCTGTGCCCTCCTGACATGGTTACTGTGATGGGAGCCGGCCCATCCATGCCAGGGGCACTGCTCACGTGCCCTTAGGTGTGGCAGACACAGCCCTACCCTCACACACACCTCTTATTTACTCGCAGACCCTTCCACCGGACACCGGCCGGCAGCAGTGCTCCCACCGCTCATGCAGGCTCCCTCCTCGGAAGTGACTGTGGACACCATGCCCAGGCCAAGTACACTCCCCTGTTTTCTTTGGGTGCTGAGCCTGCTCTTGGCTGGATCCTGGGGTCTTCAGGGTTTGAAAAGTGGACAGGGCAGTCCCCCTGCTAGAATGCAGGGTGGGCTCCATGGGATCCTTAAAGAAGGGCAGTGAGAGATCAGAAAAGAGGTGAGCAGACTGGGTGGCAACCAAGGGTCACTTAGTAGGGGAGGATTTCTCCACACGGCCCAGCCCTGCTGGGCCACCTGGGGTTGGGAGAATGGGGACTTGGTCACCACCAACCTCGCTCCTTGAATTGGGCCACTGACCTTGCAGCTCCAGGGTCCTGAGACCCAGGGAGAGGGAGGCTGTGCAGTCCCTCAGGTGAGGTGATGAGGGCCTGGCGTGGGAGGCAGGGAAAGCACTGAGCATGCTTTAGAGGGAACATCACCAGGGAGGCCTTAGAGGTTCCGCATCCAGACAGGGAAGCACAGTCGAGGTGCCTGTCAGCTCCCTACTAATCCTGGGCTCCTCTGGGAGAAGAAAAGAGGAGGGATGAGTTGCCAGGATTGTGTGGGGACAGGGCTGGGCAGGACAGTGATTGAATTCCTACAACATTCTTACATTCCTGAGGCAGCTTCACGGTTATTACAGTTTGCTTCCCAAGAGTTCCAAAGCTAACTAGTTACAGCTCTCCCCGCTTCTTTCCAGATTGCTACAGCAGACAAAGGTATGATTACCTTTTTTTTTTTTGCAGACACAGAGAAGTTAGGAGACTTGCTCATAGTCACACAGAGCTTCATTCTGGGGACACAAAGAAAAGTCAGGGTCCATTCTGAGGGGGCTCACAGCCAGCGACAGGCCATGTTGCCTGTGTAGTCACAGGCATGGTGCAGACACAGGAGGGGGTTGTCCCAGCCTTGTAATTACCGGTGGATATCCTGGAGGTGGTGATTTTGTGACTATTTGAAAGCGAAGGAGGTGTTAGCTTGCAAAGGGGACTAAAGTGTGTGTGTGTGAGTAGGGGTTGCAGGTGTGAGCTGCAGGCAGGGTTGGGGTGTTAAGCACTGGGCGGGCAGGCCCTGACCCTGCTGGGGACCTCCTGTGAGCTGAGAGTTGCTGAAGAACATGGCCTTCTCCCTGAAGGCAACAGCGTCAGGGCTGGGGTCTGGGGGCAGACTTGGTTCAGAAGCTGGGTAAGAGCCTGCCTTCTGTTTCCCATCAAAGGGCCAACCTGGCAGCAGCCTGGCGGCCCCAGGCACTACCTCACTGGCTCAGGGACCTTGTGGGGACCGGACGGGCCGGGCCTGGCGTGAAGCACGCGTCCATTCTGCACTGTGTGCTCGGCGGTCCCGGAGCCCCGCGCGAGCCCCGCCTTGCGCCACGGGTCGGTGTCCATGCTGTGCGGCCGGAAACCAGGCAGGGAGCCCAAGCGCAGAGGGTCCCACAGACGCCTTCTGTCCCCGTAGGGACCAGCGCCGGCCCCAAGGGTACCTCCCGGGACCCGGGCTCGGCGGCCCGACTCCAGCCGCGAGTCAGCCCGCTGCCCAGTGAACACGGCCCCAGACCCCGCGCCCCCACCTCCGTGGGCCCCGCGGCTCCGCAGCCCCAAGGGACGGCGACACCGAGCCCTGTGGCCCACCGCGCGTCCCCGGGGGACGACTCGGCCCCCGAGAAAGGGGCCTTGATTGCCCTGGTAACTACTCAGCGCGCGTCCTTCGGCCCGACGACCTGGCCCTCCCCGCCGCCTCTGGCACCGAGCCCCGCTGGGCCAACTCCCTCCGGTGAGCCCCCGGAAGCGGCCGGGACCCCTCTGACCTCTGCTCGGAGCCCTGCTCCAGTCCACACATCCCCGGACCCCGTCACCGAGCAGCGCAGGCCCGGGACTCCGCGGGGGGCAGCGGCGGACCCCTCAGCTACACCCAGGATGGCAGCGCCCCTGGAGTCCGCCCCACTCAGCCCGTCCTGTGACTCGGAGCCTCCGGGGAACTTTGCGGGGACGGAAGAAAGCTCCTCAGAGCCTTCCAGCTCAGGGAGCCCGACTGTGCCCCAAAGGACAATCGCATGCCCTAGGTGGGGAGCCCGGGGCCAGGCTGCAGGCGTGGAGACAGCGGGGAGCTGGCCGGCGCCTGAAACAGGTGCCCGCCCGTGTCGCTGGCGGTTGGCCCCACCTGGCCCCTGCCCCAGCGTCCCGCTCCTCCTTTGGGGAGACCAAGCCCTAGTGTTCAAGCCCAGGCTACAGGCGGGGAGTTTGAGGGCAGGGGATTTTGCTGGTGCACCGTCTCCTGCCCCTGGCTGCATTCCGGTCCACCCTCTGGGGTGATCGAGTGGAGAAACAATGTATTTTGGCTGTAGCAGTCTGAGAGCCAAGGGTTGGGATGTTGGCTCTACTACTGACTGTTGTAGCCTTAGGCAAATTTCCTAACCTCTCTGAACTCCATTTTTCTCATTTTAAGAAGTGAAAATACTAATGCCATGAGAGGTATCGATCAGTCCCAGGTATCTGGCAGATACTCACATGGTAGTTATTACCATTTTAGTCTCAATTCATTAGTGAAATGTGTCACTTTGTCTCCCACCTCGGTCCTTACCTTATTCAGTAGGGTGGGCTTCATTCTCATCTTACTAATTATAAATGATTATGAGTGATCATAATTATGAATTATTGAGATTGCAGATCTCACAGGCGCACACTTGCTTTATGCCCCTTTGTATCTTTCCCAGGCCTACAATAGCATTTTTGCACATTGGTAGATGATTTAATTCAACAATCATTTCCTGAGTACCTGTTTTAAACAAGGGATTGAACTGTGGATACCAAAAGGAGCAGGACCTGTTTCCTGTTTTTAAAAGAGCTTATTCTAATAGGGATGAATAGAGACAACCAGGACTGTTCGAAAAGTCCTGTGCCAGAAGTGTGAACCAAGAGCCTAGGCAGGAAAGTGACTCATTCATTCTGCCTGGAGAGGTGGTAGTAATTGGAAAAAGGTAGGGCAGGATTTCATCAGGCAGCAAGGACCAAAGGGTCTTCTTGGCAGAGGGAATATTGTAAGCAAAGACAGGCAGATGTGAAAATGTGCAGTTCGGGTGTGTAGGTCACATATTTGCAAAGGGAATGGCAAGCGATGAGGGGAAAGAGGTGGACTGGGCCAAATTCTGAAGGACTTGATCCTGCAGTCAGTGGAGCCATCAGAGGTTCTTAGCAAGTGAACAAAATGCTCTTATCTATAGTTACTAGAAGCAAAGTGGTTACAATGACGTGGGACCATGCTGAGTGTTAGAAAGCTAAAGGAAAAAGCATGGTTCAATATTATATGTGCAATACAGTCACAAAAACATTGAAAGGAAACATCAACCTATGCTTTAAAAAAAAGATTGAAAGGAAATGTATGAAAATGTTAACAGCCGTTATATTCAGGTGATGAGAATATGAATGTTTCCCATTCTGTATTTCTGGATTTTACAAATTTATTCATTTCATTATAAATAAATTTACAATGCTCTGGGTGTGGAAAGAAGAAGACATTTGGAGAGGAGGACAACCCTAGGAAAGGAGAGACAGGCAGTGTATGTATGTGGGGGAAAGGCTGTTGCATGGTCTGGGTGAGGGGAAGTGAGGCCAGATCTGGGCAGCAGAGGAGGGACATGAGAGAATCAATTTTATATCCTTTGCAAATGACATTAATTGAAGAAACAGAAATACAAACATATTTTTTAAATGTTCAGCTTTGTTCACTTAATCACAGAAATGCAAATTAGAAGCAAGAAGCCTTTTTTAAATTAATGATTTTACTTACCAGTTTGGCAAGAATTTAAAAGGGTGGTTATGCTGACGAGGATGCAGGGAAATCAGCGACCTCAGACACGGAGTAGGAAAGGAAACCAGTGTCACCATTCCAGCAGTGTGTGTCAGTCCGTATTCTACCCTTGGAAATTTATTAAGGAAATAATGGTACAAGGTGCTCACATGTACACACATCTTCCACACATGGGTCATTTATTGCAGCATTTTTTTATTGTAGTGAAAAACTGGAGGCAACCTAATGTCCATTAAAAGCAGTTGGTTAAATAAGTTACGGTACATTCAATGAAACACTATGCAGCTTTTAAGAAGAATAAGGTAGATCTTTACACATTCAAATTAAAAAATTCAAGTGTGTGAAGGATATTCTATAGCAAACTGTTACTAGTGGTTATCCCTGGGTCAGGGGAGGGGATATTTTTCGCTTCATCATTTTACAATATTGCATCACAAAAACAATATCGTTATTTCCATATGGAAAAAAAAGACAACTGCAAGGCACTGACAGGACTTTGGTGACTGAACATGACAGCAAGTGAGAGGAAGGAAGGGAGCAACTGAGGGCACCTGGGGTCTCTGGCTGGGCTGCCTCAGGAGATGGGCAGCCATACAGGGTGGCTGGCAGAGGCTCAGCTTGGTTTTGGAATGCTTGGAGTTTGGGGCGCTACCCCATGATGGAGATGTTGGGGGTCTCTGGGTGCCATGGTGGGGGCTCTATGTAGCTAGCAGACAACATAAGGGCATTGGCCTCTTGGGACAGGAAATACTGAAAGAAAACATTTGGTACTGAGGATAAATTTCATAATCTAGCCCCACAAATCCTGGTATCAGGGACACTATGAGAGATGATGGTGTAGCAATTCAAGAGCTGAGTACCTGAGCCTGTGGGAATAAGTCAAGGACTGGCAGGGATGAGCTTCCCACACTGCATGGTTTCTACCTGATTGTGTGCATAGCAGGGGCTGACCACCCCTATGTTCCAGCTCAGGGGCAGCCCCCAATCTCAGACCACCTTGTTCCTGGGCTGCATTTGCAGTAACTCCTTTATTTTTCCCTCTGTAGCTGTGGCCAGTGAAAGAAGTGGTACTGATATGAGATACACAGCCATTGCCACTCAGGTCCAACATCTGAGCTCCTCTAGCCATCCAGAGCCTAAAGAAGAAACTCCAGCGCCAGATTCAGGTAACTGCTTCCGATTAACAAATTCCCACTCTAAACAAATGAGCAGTTAAATCTGGACAGCCACTCCTTAGCACAGGGCACCTGAGACCTTTTTATGAAAGATCACATGAAATGTTGGGGAGGGAACAGAATAGAAACAGCGATGAGGATCCCAGAGCTAGCTCCCTGGCTACTGTGACACCTTGGGGAGCAACTTCCTCACTTCAGAATCTCCTATTTCTTATCTGCAAAGGCAGTATAGTAAAAACTGCCCTGCCTACACATAGGGTTGCTGCAAGGACCCAGTGAGATAATAATGCAGAGGTACTCAGTAAACTGTAAAACCCTGTATAAATATAAAGTAGTTCTATCATGAAGCTGTAGTTCCTGTAATGATTACAGTGGCTCATGGCTGAAGGCTGAGCTCATTTACAGGCTCAGAGAACTTAGGAGTTCTGGGGTAGAGCTAGCCTTTACAAATGTGTGCCGAGGAAGAGGTGATATTTCCAGCATGGTGTGCAACTACCTAATATATTTATTAATAAGAAAGAGGAAAATATAGCAGAGATGGAAAGCATAATTGCCTGCAGGGGCCAGGATGGGGGATGAGAGCCAGTGCTACCCCACAGCATGAGACACCTCCCTTTCAGCTACTGGCTGGCAGGTCCTTACTGTGGCTGAGCATTCTCCTGTTCAACAGTTTCTTTCTTCTTCCTTTTTGAAATCCTAAACTACCATGTAGCATTTATGGTGTCCAATGGGCACTCCTGACTGCTAAGAACTTAAAGTTTCAAATGGCAATAGGATCCTTGCCCCTGAACCAGCCAGCATTTCCTTTTCAGGGAAACTATTTGGAATCCTGAAAGCAGATTTTACCATCCCAGCTCTAATGGACCTAGAAGATATGAAAGACCAGTTTTTGAATGAGGTGAGACTTTGGCCCACTTCTAATTCTGATCAACCAGATGACTTGAATACAAGATGACACTGTCAAAATCAATATATAAAGAGCAAAAGCTTTGGAAAATGAGCTTATCTGTCGCCATGCCCATCACTTTGGCTCATGGTCACAGACTGGCTCACGCACCAAGATCTTTTCAGATCTTTTTCTTATTCTATCCAACATTTTTCCTGAGCTCTTAAAAAAAAAATCAAGACAGCATAGTCAGAGGGACCTAAATTTGGGTCTTGGCTTTCCATTTATTAGTTGTGTGACCTTGGGCAAGTAATTTCATCTTTCTGAGCCTCAGACTCCTTATGAATTAGGGACAACAGTACCTAACTTACACGTTGGTATTATGATGAAATGAAATATTCCATGTAAAGTGCTCAGCAAACTGGCACATAGTGAGTGCTCAATAAATATAAACATTGGCTATTATTATCATTATCAGCATTATTATTCTGAATTTACATTTGTTTCAGGCTTTTTCCCCCCTGGTTTTTTGAAGTACTGTGAGATGGGAGATGGTGAAGAGGAAGAATTGTTCCTAAATATTATAACAAAAGCCTTCAGCTGATTTTCAATTATGGCCTCAGGGCCCATTTCTCAGTTACATGAGATAATAATCATAGGAGGTCAGAGCTGGAGAGTTCCTTATAGGTCATTTCACCAAAACCATAATTTTACAGACAAGGAAATGATTGGCATTTATCTGGTAGTTTACTGATAGTTATTCACAGGCCAAAGAAATAGCACCCAGGCAATTCATTCTAAAATTTCACAAATTCAAGTTTCTAGAAAGAATGGTAGTATGGGCTCAAGCGCATCTGGAGAGCTGGGCGGGGAACTGGACAGCTTTCAGTCTACAGAGCTGATCATCAAGTCTACAAGTCAAGGACCTTTTTGTCAGTGGGGGGGATCCAAACCAGAAACTTTGTACCTTCTGCTTCAAATTAAAGCTAATAATGGGAAAACTGGGGTCTAAACGGGAATTCCATCTGCTGGACCTTTGCTGGAATGTATCTATTCCATATTAATGGAGAGAATTTCTACCTCCTGTAGTTAAAGGATGGAATTGATGGAGACAGGTGTGTGAGGGGGAAGGCAGAGTGTATATTATCAGTTTTAGCATTTTAAATTCCAAATAGAAGGCAAAGAAATACCTATAGCCAGTTAATCCCAGTTCCCAGGACTAGGACACAGCAACCTTGTGGCAGACACTCACAGTGTTTGGAGCCCCATCTGGACTAGCCAGTATTAATCCTGGCTGACGTCAGAACCCGCTGGGGAATTTAAAAAAGCCCGGCCCCAGCCCTTAAAGAGCTTCTATTTAATTGCTCACTGGAGGAGCTTAAGAGGCATCCCTTTTTTTTTTTTTTAAAGTTCCTCAGTGATTCTGAAGGATAGTCAGGATTGAAAAGCACTGTTTAAGTAATTTATTTTAGTCTCCTTTGTCATCAAACTTTTTATGTTATTTCCTTGCCGGGGGGTGGGGTGGGTGGTAGTGGCGGCCTGACAAAATTGATTTATGTGTTTTCCCATTGGTGAAGATGCTAATGGCAAAAGGCAGGCAGCTGGGCAGAGGCTAAGAAAAATAAAGGTTGTCACTGGATGTAAACGTATCTACGTAGAGAGTTTAGAGCTACAATGACTAGGAGGTCACAAGATAGCATCACCAGTTTCTCCCTTTTTGTGTTTCAGATCCAAGAAGCCTTAAAGCTTACATTAGGTCATGAGCAATTCAGACTGAAATTGGTCAGCTTGGAAGTTAACAAAAAGTAGCACACATCTACCAATCTGGGGCCTCCTCCTCTCTGTCACCTTTGGATTCTGAGTGAATTTTACTTTTTAAACTCCTAGTGGATCAGAACTAGAAATAACTCCAGATAATGTGCAGAGATTAACTGGAGGAATTTCAGACCCACACCCAGTACAAAAGAAAACTGTGTACAAAACCTCATCCCTGCATTTTATATAATGAAACAGGTGAGCAGGAAAAGATGGAGGTATTTGGGAACAGTGATCATGAGAGTGACAAGCAAACAAGGACAGAACACCCAATGAAACCACAAACATCCTCAAACAAACCCCATTAATCTACCTGGGGAAGTAAGGGAAGACAGCAGTGGTCTGCAAGCTGAGTGGGGCACACTTCTCAATAAAGTAGACGAAGCTTCCTTTACCAGCCACAAGCTTTAAAGAGGTTTCAAATTCTTCAGAATGAGGAGCTAAGGGTATTATCACAATACAATCTATGTCAATGCGGAGCTAAGGATATTATCACAATACAATCTATGTCAATGCCAGCTATTTGTTCTACATCTAGATTTTCTTTACCCGGATGTTATGAAGTTCCAAGACACTGTTCTTAATGTTAAAATGTACCTTCAGAACAACGTTCCTGTATACATTTTCTTTCTGATATTCCTCCAAGTGTCCTAATCACCCAGATATGTGCTATAAGTAGAAATATATCAAATACAGTAGCAACTTAAGTCTGAAATGTTTAAAGTTAAAGTTTATTTGTATTCTTTGTAGGAATATCAATAAAAGACCTCAAACATATCTATATCTGTACATGTACAAGAAGCATCAAAAATTATTCACAGAACAAAAATAAATCTTCTTTAGAACAAGCCCAGGTAATGAAATGCAGATATGAATCTCACATATGGAACAATCTAAGTGCTACTAGCACAAAAATATGGCTTTAAAAATAAAATAAAATTGGGTTTTGTTTTTCTAAGGTGTACTTCTCTTTCTTGAAATAAAAAATAAATTATTTAGTACTACCATTGTAAAACAGTCACGTGTATTAACACACTCTTATTAAGGCCCTGGAGATGAAAATCAAATTCAGAAGGTAAATTCCTCATAGGTATGATTCAGGTTAATGTGCTGCTGTCTGCTTGAGTTAACTTTAATGTAACTATGAAATGTCTAAGCACCACTCAAAATTTAACCTTTACTATTTACTTCAGCTTTTCTGCAGGATAATGGTCATTGAGTCAATTAGTATTTAACCTTTTGGTGAACTGGGAGTGGAAATTTTTCTCTTGGGAGTTTAGAAATGACATAAATATGATATTTATACATAACTATTTGTACCTCCACACAGATGACAGAGACCCCTAAAACACAGCTTCTGTGGAAATCTCACTATAGCAACGTAGAAGAAATCTGCTTTTAAGTCCCAAACTAAAAAATTTCCTAGGGAAAAGTCAGGGCATTTGAATGAAAAATAAGAACTGAGTAGGAAATTAAAATGCTGAATTAGGGGCAAAAACTGCCATTTTGCTTTACTTGAGTGGCTCTTTGCACTGGCCAAGTCTTACTGGGGTTGGTAACTCAAACACCTGAGGATAAACTGATCAGGAACCATAGCTACTTCTTTCTGGATTCTACTCTCAGATCAGTAATACTCAACTTTCCTTCTACGACTCCCCATGGTATCAATAATGATACCTAGGTTCTTGACACAATGTCAAACCAAATCAATTTCAAGTCACTTTAACTTATATATACATATAACACATATGGTACATTCTAAAGAGGAAAGAACCACTGTTATAAAGCATAACAAATGTGAGCATAAGATCTAAAAAACCCAGGAAAGCTGGAAACTGCTGTTCTCTAAACTGGATTAACATTCAGAAAAAGGAAGCCTTAGAAACTGTGTGTTTTGTGTGGGTATGCATGTGTTGCCTACAGAAGTGGTCTTTCCATATATGTTTAAAGAGTGGAGGCCAAGAATATAGATCTTCCTGCATCCCTGAACCTTTGGGCTACTGAGAAGGCTCCTGTGCATTAGTCCCCTTTTGGATCATGTATCTTCCTCAGGTTCTTTCACTCCTCATGAGATATTTATTCCATCTCAGGCAAATTTTAGCACTTTTGTCCTTTCTAAACTCAAGAGCATTCAAAACAGGATCATGACAACAAGAGAATGCTTCTAGAACTAATGACACTCAAACACAAAGAGATTCTGTTAAAAAATTCAACACTCCAATGTATTTTGTTTTTCAAAAAACTAGTGCAACAGGTTGTTCCAACTGACATATTGTTAAAAACAAAGACCCCAAATGCTCGGCTCCATGGTAGCAGGTGGGAAGGTTACTATTCATTGTAGGGGCAGGCAAGAGATTTCACTACTGCACTTGAAAAAGGGAAGGGGAATAAAGAAAGCCCCATGGCTTTCCACAATCTATAGGAGAAGGTGGCCTCCCAAGGTGAAGCTGAAATGCAGTGAAGCTGTGGCAGGAGCTCTGGAGCTGGTGAGTCAGGCTGAGTGACAAGCTCAGTCTGGTGTCAAGTCTGGGCTAAGGGTCACATAGGACTCAGCTAATCGTGAGGAGCGTTCCTTCCCCAAGTCCAGTCCCCCAACCAGCCTTCTTAGGCACTCCAAACTGGAGACAACTAGGACTAAAGCTAGATAGAAGGCAAAGCAAATACTAACGCAAACTCACTGGATGGCAACTGTCTTGCTCTGGGGCTTCCAAAAAGAACTGCTTCCTATCTGGTGTACCTCTGAGGGCAGAGCAACAGCCAGGGGCTGACAGAACTGCATGTTCATAAGCTAAGATCATGGGTAGACTGAAAAGCTTTGCTTCTAAAGTTCAGTTCATTCTTATACACATACAGCAGTTGTAGACAGGAAATCCTACTTTTTCTTTCACTGTCCAACACCATCACAGGGAAAGGTGGAGCAGACCAAGAAAGCTAGTGTTGATCAACTCAATACCAAGTGAAAAAGGCAAAAAGCTACTGCAACATGGTTACCTTATCATACCACACTTCCCTTATCAAGGCACCGGAGCTCACCAGTATCTTGGCGATAGTGCCTGGGACACAGTGAGTGCTTCGGTGTTTGTCAGTTACCTAGTTAATCTCTCCTCTGGCATGGTTTCTGTTGCCGAGACTGAGGACATATGATGATCTGATGGAAATGTAACTCCTGTGGCTGTTTTAGCCCAGAAAGTGATGTCAAAGGGGGCTATGAAGCTCTTTCCTAAACCCCAACACTGTCCTTGTTAACGGCCAAGGACTAAGCACTCGGCAAGCACCTCACCTGAATTCCAGATCCCATTCTCCCTGGGACTGCACTGCACCCCGCGATGTGGTGATGTGGAGGGAGGGGAGGAAGACATGGCTATCTTACTCCACCCACTGCTCTTCAGCCCTGCACCTCCTCCCAGCTAAACTGAGGTATGTACTTTGTTGGGCTGAAGAAAAAGCCGATTAAGCAATATCACCACAAAAACCAATGGCTATTGGGGCCTTCTTCCAAACTTAAAAAAAAAAAAATTTAATCCCAGTTCCCAGGACTAGGACACAGCAACCTTGTGGCAGACACTCACAGTGTTTGGAGCCCCATCTGGACTAGCCAGTATTAATCCTGGCTGACGTCAGAACCCGCTGGGGAATTTAAAAAAGCCCGGCCCCAGCCCTTAAAGAGCTTCTATTTAATTGCTCACTGGAGGAGCTTAAGAGGCATCCCTTTTTTTTTTTTTAAAGTTCCTCAGTGATTCTGAAGGATAGTCAGGATTGAAAAGCACTGTTTAAGTAATTTATTTTAGTCTCCTTTGTCATCAAACTTTTTATGTTATTTCCTTGCCGGGGGGTGGGGTGGGTGGTAGTGGCGGCCTGACAAAATTGATTTATGTGTTTTCCCATTGGTGAAGATGCTAATGGCAAAAGGCAGGCAGCTGGGCAGAGGCTAAGAAAAATAAAGGTTGTCACTGGATGTAAACGTATCTACGTAGAGAGTTTAGAGCTACAATGACTAGGAGGTCACAAGATAGCATCACCAGTTTCTCCCTTTTTGTGTTTCAGATCCAAGAAGCCTTAAAGCTTACATTAGGTCATGAGCAATTCAGACTGAAATTGGTCAGCTTGGAAGTTAACAAAAAGTAGCACACATCTACCAATCTGGGGCCTCCTCCTCTCTGTCACCTTTGGATTCTGAGTGAATTTTACTTTTTAAACTCCTAGTGGATCAGAACTAGAAATAACTCCAGATAATGTGCAGAGATTAACTGGAGGAATTTCAGACCCACACCCAGTACAAAAGAAAACTGTGTACAAAACCTCATCCCTGCATTTTATATAATGAAACAGGTGAGCAGGAAAAGATGGAGGTATTTGGGAACAGTGATCATGAGAGTGACAAGCAAACAAGGACAGAACACCCAATGAAACCACAAACATCCTCAAACAAACCCCATTAATCTACCTGGGGAAGTAAGGGAAGACAGCAGTGGTCTGCAAGCTGAGTGGGGCACACTTCTCAATAAAGTAGACGAAGCTTCCTTTACCAGCCACAAGCTTTAAAGAGGTTTCAAATTCTTCAGAATGAGGAGCTAAGGGTATTATCACAATACAATCTATGTCAATGCGGAGCTAAGGATATTATCACAATACAATCTATGTCAATGCCAGCTATTTGTTCTACATCTAGATTTTCTTTACCCGGATGTTATGAAGTTCCAAGACACTGTTCTTAATGTTAAAATGTACCTTCAGAACAACGTTCCTGTATACATTTTCTTTCTGATATTCCTCCAAGTGTCCTAATCACCCAGATATGTGCTATAAGTAGAAATATATCAAATACAGTAGCAACTTAAGTCTGAAATGTTTAAAGTTAAAGTTTATTTGTATTCTTTGTAGGAATATCAATAAAAGACCTCAAACATATCTATATCTGTACATGTACAAGAAGCATCAAAAATTATTCACAGAACAAAAATAAATCTTCTTTAGAACAAGCCCAGGTAATGAAATGCAGATATGAATCTCACATATGGAACAATCTAAGTGCTACTAGCACAAAAATATGGCTTTAAAAATAAAATAAAATTGGGTTTTGTTTTTCTAAGGTGTACTTCTCTTTCTTGAAATAAAAAATAAATTATTTAGTACTACCATTGTAAAACAGTCACGTGTATTAACACACTCTTATTAAGGCCCTGGAGATGAAAATCAAATTCAGAAGGTAAATTCCTCATAGGTATGATTCAGGTTAATGTGCTGCTGTCTGCTTGAGTTAACTTTAATGTAACTATGAAATGTCTAAGCACCACTCAAAATTTAACCTTTACTATTTACTTCAGCTTTTCTGCAGGATAATGGTCATTGAGTCAATTAGTATTTAACCTTTTGGTGAACTGGGAGTGGAAATTTTTCTCTTGGGAGTTTAGAAATGACATAAATATGATATTTATACATAACTATTTGTACCTCCACACAGATGACAGAGACCCCTAAAACACAGCTTCTGTGGAAATCTCACTATAGCAACGTAGAAGAAATCTGCTTTTAAGTCCCAAACTAAAAAATTTCCTAGGGAAAAGTCAGGGCATTTGAATGAAAAATAAGAACTGAGTAGGAAATTAAAATGCTGAATTAGGGGCAAAAACTGCCATTTTGCTTTACTTGAGTGGCTCTTTGCACTGGCCAAGTCTTACTGGGGTTGGTAACTCAAACACCTGAGGATAAACTGATCAGGAACCATAGCTACTTCTTTCTGGATTCTACTCTCAGATCAGTAATACTCAACTTTCCTTCTACGACTCCCCATGGTATCAATAATGATACCTAGGTTCTTGACACAATGTCAAACCAAATCAATTTCAAGTCACTTTAACTTATATATACATATAACACATATGGTACATTCTAAAGAGGAAAGAACCACTGTTATAAAGCATAACAAATGTGAGCATAAGATCTAAAAAACCCAGGAAAGCTGGAAACTGCTGTTCTCTAAACTGGATTAACATTCAGAAAAAGGAAGCCTTAGAAACTGTGTGTTTTGTGTGGGTATGCATGTGTTGCCTACAGAAGTGGTCTTTCCATATATGTTTAAAGAGTGGAGGCCAAGAATATAGATCTTCCTGCATCCCTGAACCTTTGGGCTACTGAGAAGGCTCCTGTGCATTAGTCCCCTTTTGGATCATGTATCTTCCTCAGGTTCTTTCACTCCTCATGAGATATTTATTCCATCTCAGGCAAATTTTAGCACTTTTGTCCTTTCTAAACTCAAGAGCATTCAAAACAGGATCATGACAACAAGAGAATGCTTCTAGAACTAATGACACTCAAACACAAAGAGATTCTGTTAAAAAATTCAACACTCCAATGTATTTTGTTTTTCAAAAAACTAGTGCAACAGGTTGTTCCAACTGACATATTGTTAAAAACAAAGACCCCAAATGCTCGGCTCCATGGTAGCAGGTGGGAAGGTTACTATTCATTGTAGGGGCAGGCAAGAGATTTCACTACTGCACTTGAAAAAGGGAAGGGGAATAAAGAAAGCCCCATGGCTTTCCACAATCTATAGGAGAAGGTGGCCTCCCAAGGTGAAGCTGAAATGCAGTGAAGCTGTGGCAGGAGCTCTGGAGCTGGTGAGTCAGGCTGAGTGACAAGCTCAGTCTGGTGTCAAGTCTGGGCTAAGGGTCACATAGGACTCAGCTAATCGTGAGGAGCGTTCCTTCCCCAAGTCCAGTCCCCCAACCAGCCTTCTTAGGCACTCCAAACTGGAGACAACTAGGACTAAAGCTAGATAGAAGGCAAAGCAAATACTAACGCAAACTCACTGGATGGCAACTGTCTTGCTCTGGGGCTTCCAAAAAGAACTGCTTCCTATCTGGTGTACCTCTGAGGGCAGAGCAACAGCCAGGGGCTGACAGAACTGCATGTTCATAAGCTAAGATCATGGGTAGACTGAAAAGCTTTGCTTCTAAAGTTCAGTTCATTCTTATACACATACAGCAGTTGTAGACAGGAAATCCTACTTTTTCTTTCACTGTCCAACACCATCACAGGGAAAGGTGGAGCAGACCAAGAAAGCTAGTGTTGATCAACTCAATACCAAGTGAAAAAGGCAAAAAGCTACTGCAACATGGTTACCTTATCATACCACACTTCCCTTATCAAGGCACCGGAGCTCACCAGTATCTTGGCGATAGTGCCTGGGACACAGTGAGTGCTTCGGTGTTTGTCAGTTACCTAGTTAATCTCTCCTCTGGCATGGTTTCTGTTGCCGAGACTGAGGACATATGATGATCTGATGGAAATGTAACTCCTGTGGCTGTTTTAGCCCAGAAAGTGATGTCAAAGGGGGCTATGAAGCTCTTTCCTAAACCCCAACACTGTCCTTGTTAACGGCCAAGGACTAAGCACTCGGCAAGCACCTCACCTGAATTCCAGATCCCATTCTCCCTGGGACTGCACTGCACCCCGCGATGTGGTGATGTGGAGGGAGGGGAGGAAGACATGGCTATCTTACTCCACCCACTGCTCTTCAGCCCTGCACCTCCTCCCAGCTAAACTGAGGTATGTACTTTGTTGGGCTGAAGAAAAAGCCGATTAAGCAATATCACCACAAAAACCAATGGCTATTGGGGCCTTCTTCCAAACTTAAAAAAAAAAAAAATCTTTCAGAATAAATTACATAGATTGCAGAATTCTCTGAAAAAATACTCAGAAAAGTATTTGGATAGGAAGAGGCTCAGAGGATAATCTGGAATTTAACATCTGGCAACAACTCTGAACTTCTAACTTTATTTTTTTACTCTTTTCTCTTCATTCAAGATAACCTGGTAACAGAGGGCTGCATAATCTATCCAAACATTTTGGGCAATTAATCTTCTAAAGTAGGCAGCCCTCTAAAGAGCTCCCAAATGCCAATAAGATATATGCATCCATCAAAAACACAATTGGTTTTTTGTCTCCCCCAAGCCCCAATATAGGCAAGCTTATCAGTTCTCTGTGATCAATAACCAACACTCGAGAGCTTCCAAACATCAATGCAAGACAACTCCCTTGTTACATACTTAAGGCCATTGAAACTGACAATTCTTTTACCAGGTTTTCTGTGGCAAAACTCAAGGCTTTTACAATGAATAAATGAAATATGGCTAGAGCTGAGAAAACACAAGCAAAAAGAGACCTATACTTATATCCTCTCTTACTCAACAAAGGGCACTACAGAATTGATCATTTTTTTTCTATTAAAATAAGTGATTGGGACTGCAGAGATAAGAATTTGTGAAGTAACTATCAAGAAAATACACAGGTGGGTGGCAAAACATGCAGGTGTGAGGTCTGCAGATCAGGTAAGCACAATGGTATAGATCTCTGACTGGCAGAAATGGAAGTGTTATGAAGGGCAACGTCTTAAGAGGTTGTGAGGTAGGAAGGTCACGGTGGGGTTGCTAAAATGCAGGGTCCAACACAAAGATCCACCAGAGAGGGCAGTGCTCAAGACGTTAGGACCAAGCCTTCTACTCAGTGAAAAGACAGGCTTGGTGTCACTGTCTGGATTTCACCCAAGAGGACACGAAGAATGTTCTTTTATTCCCTTATAATATTTTGTTATTTAGAAACTATCACTCCATGCATATGCCCTCCCCCTGACCTCCTTGGGTCTTTTTGTCCTCTTCCCCTTTTCTTTCTTTTTAAAAAAGTTTGTAATTTAAAATAAACATCATTAACTTATTTGAGAAATGCTGCTCCATTCTCCAGATAAAGAACTACTTAGATTTTGCTTGAAGAGATTCACAACCTTCTTAACATTATATCTGACAGCATAGAAGGCATGAACTTTTCCTATTTGTGCAGTTATATGTACATATGTGTGACTATATATGTATATGTATTTCTATATATAATGCCTGTTTAACATGAAACTTCCGTATTTCTGATAAGTGTGTACTCAAGATGACACTTCATACCTCTGGAAAAAGGATGTAAAATTACCTTCCACTGACTGTTTTGTCCAACAGTAAGGCCAAGGATGACAACTGGTGAAACTGGGTCATTATTGCCAATGCTACTAAGATCATGGGGAATAACGATGGGCATGCTGTCCCTGCACTTGTTTCCTATTTCTCATAAAAGTAATCATGACTTTTAAGAGAGTGATGCTTCAGATTTGGATTTCCTTTCCAAACTGCACTGAGGGGATTAGAGGAAGGAGTAAAAGTTAGATTGAAATAAAATTACCCAGAGATTTGCTAGTATTATGGACAATCATTTTATCCCAAACAAAAAATGTAACTTATACATAGAAAATGTGTTTTTTTCAAAGGAAATATTAGGGGATGCCTGCTATGGTATGCTTAGCCCTTTTCTGTGTGGAGGAAAGGGTGTTTATTTCAGATGGCTTATGGACAGCATATCTGAATAACCTCTCCAGGGGAGAGTGACCCTGTCGGCGATGACTGCTCCCACCATAGGGCAGGAAGGGCAGCAGGTTATGAAGATGAACATGGTATGAAGAGACACAAATATTTATAGTTTTGTAAACTCTAAAGAGGAGAACACCCTTTATTACAACAGGGGTTTAAAATAAGGCCCCTATCTAAAATGGAAAATTCCCATCTGCTATAGGCAGAAGGAAATAAACATCAACAGGAGTTCAAAGAAAACACTCCTAAAGTCCAGTTTTGATGCAATGGCTCTTATCTGTGTCCTCTGAAACAGTGTATCCCCAAATCAGATTAGATGTCCATCCAGAGCCAGTCTTGACCAATGGGATAAACTATTTTGTTTGGATCTTGGTATTTGCATGTTTTCCTAAATGACAAGGGGGTCAGAGAAGGGTTTTTAAACTGGCAGATGAATCCCTGCAAAATTCATTCTGACAAAGTCCTATTGCACTCCATGTGCCTCTATCAGCTAGACAGACACATGGTTTCTGTCTCCTGGACCCCAGGCTCGATTCTCACTCACACACAGCTCCCACATTCCTCCTCTAATGAGTGCAGTGCTTTCACTAAGAGGGAAACAATAATAAAAATAGCAATAATTAAAAAGGTAATCTACATTATTAACTTCCTCTTGGTATATTACAGTGCTATTTACTGTACATGGCCCAGAACAAAGCTCCCTATGTACATAGAGACATGGGGGAAAGCATTGACCTGGGAAGTCTTAGCCTTATGCCCTGAAGACAAGGTTCCTTTCTTTATTCAAAAATTTCCCACCACTCTGGCGTTCGGAATAGCAACATTCTGTAAACCTGGTGGGGCTGAGTAGAAGGTGGGGACAGGAGAGTGGGGATATTTCCTTTCATCCCCTCCCCAGTCCGTTCAGTTGCAAAGCCATCAGCAGCTGCTGTTTCTGAATTCACCATTCTCCGTGATGGAAAGCTTGGTGGGGTTGGTGGGGGAGATGCCGTTGCGGGCCTGCATGCTGTACCGCTCCTTCACCTGTGTCAGTGCGCTCATGAGTCTGGTGTTGGCTGAATCCAGGGACACGATCCGTTTTTCCTATAACACACCAGTCATGGATTTATTCAGGCGACATGCAGGAAGTCACACCAAAATCCACTACCGAATGACTGTTCTAATGCCTTCTATTGAACAGCAATATGCATGCTGCTTCCTGGACAAATGGAACATCTCTGCCTCTTTCTGCACACTAGTCAGGTTCAGCTTTCCCTGAATGGGTCTGCGTTTATTTTCTTTCTCTTTTCCTTTTAGCAAAGTAGGATCCATTATTCATTCTCCCTTGGGATGCTAGGATGTCATAGAAAAATGACACCTACTGTTACTTCAGACTATGCAAGAGAGGTGTCAAGCTGACTTACTGTATTGAGTGCTCTGGATCAGAATTTAAACATGGAAATTAGGTGGCAAAGAAAGAAGCACCAGAGGTTTCATTTCACAGACGAGAAGTGCATATGCCCTGTGGGTTCTTAGCCCCAAAAGAGGGCACATAAGTCACTTCAGAAAGAATTCACATTGTGCTCAAAATTAAAACAATACATGGTGGCAGTTTATAGTCACCAACAAAGTGAGGATGCAGCAGCAAAAGGGGGAAAAGCAGCCGAAAGCTCAGGCCAAGGAGTTGTTTGAATATGGGAAGGGAGATGTGGTCAAAGGGGGATGCCATAAACATAACACATGAAAACAGACAGAGAACACAAGCTCCTAGACTCATTCCAGCTCAGAGGTACTCCAAGAAAGCTACCCAGTAAGGACACTGCTTTCATTTTACTTTTGAGTCTCTGAAAAAAGAAAATGCCTTAGAACCAATATTTTGGAACCAAAAATTGTTGAATACATATACACAAAAAAAAAACAAGAAGGAAAAATGGGCCAAAAAAAAGGCAACCTAAAAGAAAGTAGGCTTATCTAAATTAAAAGATCCTATCAAAATAGTATCACTCTCACAAAGATTAGGAAAGAAACCTTAATCTTAGTTTTAGCAGCTAGATAAATCATTCCAGAACCTTTCCAACCTGAAGCCATTATTTTTTAGAAAACTAATGTTGAGAAGGTCAGTCTTTACCTATGCCCATGAAATTAATAAGAAAATAGCACGTGAGGAACAATGCCCACAGCATTCCTACCCCACGAGAGTCTGAGCCCACCCAGGGAAAAGGAGGTAAGGTAGTCACGGTGAGGTTCCGAGAGGCGTATAAGGGCTGAGGGCTGACGGTGTGCCTTGCTGTTGAAGCAGTGGCTACCCAGGGCCTTGGGCAGCACTGCTCTGCTGGAACAGGCCGCCAGCAGGATGCAGAGTGGAGACCACTGCCCTGGGGGAAAATCAGGTAAAAGCATATACAGTAGCAGCATCAAGTGGTGCTTCCCCTTAATCTCCTGCTTTGGGAGTTGGCCACTATGTGTATGGAAGCAGGGCCAATGGTTTCAGAAGTATGAAAAAAAAACTAGTTCACATGTGTTACTGTCATTAAAAAAATCCATCGTTTCCCTGAGGGAGAACTTGGGTGGTAAGATACACAAACTCAGCATTATTAACTAACCATTCATCTAGGATAAGATGTCTTTTACTTTGGGAAGGCAAGGTGTTTTAAGAATAGGCACAATTCAAAGAAAGATCTACAAAATTTAAAAATAATAATAATTAATAAAAAACATAGCCAATGGAGTTTACTGGGATAACAGATACAGCTCTTTTAAAAGTCAGTAAGTTAGGATTGGCCAGTGGTTACCAGGAAACAAGAGGTGGGAGCCAAATACGATGTTTCCCTGCTATGGTTAGGAATGATCTCTATACAGAATAACTGCTAATATCTTGAAATGATTAAAAAAAAAGAAAAGATATTTCAGTATTTGGATAAATTATAATGCTCCAGTATTAAGGAATGTAGGATTCCTCAAGGATTATCCAAAAAAAATTAGGCATTTGTAAAAAATGGTTTGACTATTACAGGGTGAAAAAGAAGGCTCAGAATGGTTGTTAATTATTTCTTACAAGAGTAACAGCTGAAGCCAAGGATCCCCCCCTCCTAAACAGCTGAAAGTTTCCATGTGGAGAAACTCCCTTTTGTAATTCTCCTCAGTGCCAACTTCTCAAAATAAAACAAAAAGTAAAAGAAAAAAAAAATCAAGTAGGGACTTTTAAAAGTCAAGTTCAGTTGGCAAAAGATGCTCTGATCCTTTGATTCTGCCTGGGTTGAAAGGCAAAGCAGTGCAGCCCATGCCTGACAGGAAGGAGTTCAAGTGCGGGAAGGGCAGGAGCTGGAATGTGTAGGAGGCCAGTGTGCTGGGCTGGGACTGGGACTGCTCAGCTAGAGAACGGACAGGTTACTTGCCTGTTGGTACAATCTCATCTCCATTTATGACCTGGAATTTAACACAGCGGAGATATCACTTGCAACAGTAACTAGGCAGCTGCTTGCTTCTCCTAGGAGGGCCCTTTTCCAACTGAGTTACATGGAGAGATCCGGGGGTGGAAGGAAGCACAGTCCCTGGTCTGATGTTTGAGAAATGGCCCCTTAGCGCCATTACCAGGATCCCCATGGCAGCGTGACAAGGCCCAGGGCAGGTGACTGCCTCACCAGTGCAGTGCTCCCCCTCGCACAGTTACAGATAGAAAGCAGCTGCTCTGGGCTGGGCCTTGTAGCATAGCCTGACCCTAGGAGACAGGCTGACTTCAGGGACAAGCTTTCCTGCAGGGGCACAGGACTGCTGAGACAGGTGAAAACCAGTTCACTGGGCACCTGGCCGTACTGTTTTGGGAAATGTTGGGCCCAACTCTACTATAAGGAAAGTAACCATATTCATTTCAGAAATATTTTCTACCACCAGTGGCACCAAGCTGATGTCAGGAACATCAAAGTATGGGAGGCTTTTACCCTAAACGTGTGTTCATTCTAGTAAATGATGCCAGAAGGGCTGCTCTGCTCCAGCAAACACTTAAGACTTAAGATTTATCCTTACAAAGGAAAGGATCTGATAGAAAAAGTCATTCATTAGAAAAGAACATAAAGTCCTTGCTCCCATTTTTATGTCACAGCTTAGCCACAGGTGATGATATTTATGGATGAGAAATGCAAACCTGGCTGGGCTATCTTCAGGGAGGTGGTACATTCAATGGCTGGACCAGCCACTATCAAAGCTGCACATGTTTTATTTGTTTCACTCTAAGAAATACAAGGTTTGCACTGATAAAATGAAAAGGAATTAGAAACATTTCCTGTATCCTGGATTTTGCTCTAATCACTGATGTGACCCTGTGAGGTGCTCCTGGCAGTCATCATGCCATTTGTGTCACAAGTATAAGCCACAAAGAGCAGAGGCCCAGGTTCTGCCTTCATCAACCAAGAGAGGCTCTCTAAGCACAGCGCCAACAAAAAAGGGCAGCCAAGCATATGCCAGCATCTGTGTCAAACCCTGAACCCAAGGAATAACAAGGGAAGGGATCTTCCACAGCCCTTGCAGTCCCACTACTGTCTGGGGCTGGAGGTCACTGGCACAGTGGACGTGACTGACAAGACCCTGAACATCACAGCCAAGCCATGGTCAGTGGCGGTCACAAGCCAGACACATGCAGTGTACTTTTCACAGTTACCCCCTTAGGGAATGCCCTCCTTTCCAGAAGGAAAGAAGCAAGCCCATCATGCATGAGGGGCTGAGATGTCAAGCAACTGCACTAAGCACGCTAATACTTTGCTGGGTTGACAGACTTGTCACCAGTTAAAGGAAAAGCAATAGAGGTCACATGAAACTCTGTTAAACTTCAAAAGGTAATGCTGAGAACTTTCCAGTGACCCATTTCCAGTACGTGCTGTGGTATTTGCAAGGGGTGGGAAGCCAGTAAGTAACAGTTTGGTAAACAAGAGCCTTTTACTAGAGTCAGAGCTACTTACCTGTGCATCAATTATTTTTTGCTTTGCATCAATAACTGCTTGCATCTCAGCATGATCCTTCTTCAATTCCTCTTCCACAGCCATTAGCCTAGAATGTGGCAGGAAGACATATCAATGACTTTAAAGAGAGAACTTGCTGATGTGGAGGACAAGAAACCCTAAACTCATCCTGGTTCCATTCCCACTCCTCCCTGACAAATGATCTGCAACCAGACTTTCTTCTCTCCTACCCTGGAAGAAGATCTCAGAGGCTGGTTCTCCACCTTAGACGGGACCTCATGCATTTTCATCTCCTCTGGGACAGTATCGCCTGATCATTTCCTCTCTCTCCTCTATCAGATTCTCCCCTCAGCACAGCTGATTTCATCTTAAAATATCAAGCCAACCAATAAAAAATAAACAACCCTCTCTTAGTCTCAAATAATCACCTTGTCACAACTGCCCTTTCTTTTCCCCTGCACAGCTAAGGTTCCTGAAGATTCTGTACTTAGGAGGCCTACTTTCTTCCGCATCCCTCACTCACACCTTAACCCACTGATGTTTCACCCATGAAACTGCTCTCAGTAAGACTGCTAACACCTTCATGCTGCTAGAACAACAAACCTTTTCTGTCTTCATTTTACTTGCTCTGTCTACTGCATTTGACAACATGGACCCACAGTGGTTCTGAGCATGGACTCTGGGGCTTGACGGCCTGGCTTCAAACCCTGGTTGCCCCATTAAGTGACCCTGGGCAAGTGACTTAATGGATGTGTTGTCTGTTTCTTTATTTGTAAAATGAGAGTAATAATAATGCCTACCTCAGAGTTGGCATTCAATAAATTATTATTAACAGATTAAACAAAGTGTTATTTATAAAGTACTTGGAAGAGTGTCTGGCCCACAGTGTCTGGCAAAGTTGACCTCTCTCTCAGCCTCCCTTGTCACCCTCGGCACTCTCTCTCGGTTCTCTGGCCCTAAAGATATCCAGTGAAACTACCCTCCATGTCTCTGGACTTGTGAGACACTAAGTTAGTCTTGGACTTGGAATACTTCAGATTTTTGAAATCCAGTTCTCCTCTAAGACCACTCAAGTGAGTAACTAAGTTTTATTTTTCTAGTTGTTACAATTAAAGAAAAACTGACTACCTCTTTCTTTAAAGGCCTACACTAAGGCCTCACATTTAGAAGATTTTAAGAGATCTGGTCAGTCTTCGCCTTGGTACTAAGCACCACAGACCACGTGCAGAGTTGAAATGGCTCTCGCTGCCACTGCTTGCGGACTCTGGATCACCCGCCCCCTTTGGACCCTGAACCAGCCCACAGCCACCACCAGGCGATGCGCGGACCTGCTGATGATGCTCTTCATCTGGCTGTCCTTCTCCTCCTGCTGCCTGCGGAGCCGCTCCTCGCTGTCCTCCAGCCGGGCCTTGTACTCCAGCAGCAGCTTCTGCATCTGCTGCTCCTGTACCAGCAGCCGGCGCTCATACTCCTCCAGCCGCCGGCTGGACACCCGCAGGCGCTCCTTCAGTTTGGTAATTTCCTGCTCATACTAGAGTAGACGAGAAGAGGCACCAAAGACAAGGGGAGAGAAACTGGAGTTACACTGGTTTTAGAAATCTGTGTTTACTTTTCAGGCGATGTACCTGGATGCTGTCTGAGCTCCCATTCCATGTGCTGCTAACGCTCTTTAAAATTATCAACAGGCATAAATGGTAAGGAGCTCTGCCCTCCTCCTAAAATTACATTTTTAACTTTAACTTGGCAACCCAAATCTATATATTTATGTCTCTTTCTCCACTTTGAACTACCAGTTGCTGTAAGCCACACCCAATCTGTGATGGTATGAAATGAGAGCAGGAGACAAAGATCAAGCACTTAGCAGCCTGACAAATCACTTAAAATAAGCCAAAAGCCAGTTGTGTGTAAGGGAGAAGATTTATGTATCACCACCTGTACTGTAGGGTCTCAACATATCTTGCCATTCCTTCACTTTACTGGAATCAGTCCTTTAGAGAACAAGCAACATGTCTATAATGTTAAGCTACTAAATCAATAAATAGAATTTTGTGGCAGAGCAGGCTATTGTTGCTTTCTCTCTGACTATAAAAGGGTAAAATATTCGGGCACAAACACTAAGCAAAAGGCCTACATGTTCTCTCAGGCTGATTCCTACTGCCTCTTGGCTCATTTTCATGGTTTGGCTCATCTGCCCAATTTGGTAGTGCTTGCTGGAACACATATGTCTGTTTTCTCACTAAAGCTTTATATAAATTTATATAAACTAAAGCTTTATAAAAATTTTCTCACTAAAGCTCTATTCAATTAAATTGGTTACATGGCCCTTTCTTGTACTGAAGTTGGAGCATAGTGGAATGTCAGACCTCTTGATGAGGTGAGAAGCATAAGCCTTCCTTAGATGATCAACTTAAATCTATTAGTAGTTAATGATAAAGCTATATGGCACTTCGTAAAATGCAATCTATTTTCACATAATATTCCACACAATCGACAATCAGATGATAAGTTTCTGCTTACCCAACATCAAGGTCCTAAACTATGCTGGTTAATCCAGAAGGTCAAAGGGGACAATTTTTAGGACAGTTTAAAGAGGTAAACTGCATAAACAAGCAGAGTTTAGAGTCATGCTGGTAAGTAAGCAGAAGCTGATTGTTTAGTTGCTAATTAAATGAGATAATGCCATACATGATGTCAAGGTTCTTGTTTGATAATCCTTTTTTTCCATGCCGACTTTTCTTTAAAACAAAACTGAATAGATAATGTCTTTTAAAAAATCATCTGTACAGCCATAAGTTCTTTATTCAAAAACAAAAAGACAAAATTATTGCTAAGATATAGAAAGGAAATCTATTCCAAGAGTAATGTTGGCCTTACTTGAAGACTAGCACTAAATATTCACCTAGAACTACTAGAAATGAATAGCAGAGTATTCTCTAAATTAAGGCAGCCTACATAAAAATAAAAATACAGTTAACCCTCCCCACCCTTCAGCTTGATGGGCATTTTCCAAATTTTTACACAGACATTACTGAATCATTATACATAGATATGTATATGATGATTCACAGAAGAGGCAGAAATGAAGTTGAAGTGGGGAGATCATGCTCTTGGCTAGACAACCCTTTTGGTGACCTCTCACTGTGGGGGCATTAAGTCAGTAAAGACAGACTAGGTTCTACCTTCTCAGCATGCTTGGCTTCATCTTGATTTTGCTCAGATTCTTCCACGTCCTCTTCATATTGCCCATTGTTCAGAACCCAGGCTGCTGTCCTCTCTACTGGGGACATTGTGGCAGAGTCCACAGGAGACTGAACCTGCATCAGAAATACTTGTTAGTATCTCCCCAAACAGCTCATCTACAATCTATGTTTCATAAAGAGAGCTATTTTTGGAAGACATACCTTGACCCCTGTTTTCTAGTAAATGCTCTCAGCTCTCAGTAATATTTTATTAATACCAGGGCTGGGGTGAGGAAAGAGAATATCCATTTGTATAAGAATAAACTATTCCTATGTATCATGTCAATGAACCTGCCTTTTTCTTGCTCTGAAGAAAGCCAAGGCCTTAAAATTATTAGTTAGTCGTGTGTTCCAAACTACTAATGAAATTAAGATGATGAAAGAATGAGAGGAAAAAAGCACAACTCGGTTGATTGCTCAGGTGAGGAAACATCTGTTTAACCCAGAGATGATCAGGAACCAAAGAAATGATTAATGTCAAACAAACTCACAAGGTGCCTATTTATGTATCAGAATGCCAAATGCTTAATTTTCATATTAACCCTTTAGAGAAAGAGAAAGAGACAAGAAAAGTGATACTGTTCTTACAAAGTTGTAAAAAACGGGGTCATTTTTATAGAGCATGGACTTCTTGATGGGTAGGACTACTCAGAAATCCACACTGTAGCCAGAAAGTTTCTTAATGAATAGAGGATCAAAACAATAGATATCGAATTAGTCTAAGGGATATTTCCATCCAGTTAGGAAAGCTAAATACATTATCCTTTTCTAATAGAGATATATAGAGTGATAAGAATTTTGGCCTTTAGTAGTAAACTTGGCCACTTCAATTGTTACTTAATCTCTTCAATACTTTTTTCCTAACTTACCGAAAAGGGGTATGTCTGGGATGGGATATATCACCATCACCACATGTCCTGATCATCTCACAGGGAGTTGTAAGGATTGAGTAAGATATTGTATATGAAAGTTTTTGGAAATTACAGAGTATTGTTGAGCTTAGATGTTATTACCATATTATGTTTGGAAAACCGGCACTGGATAAAACTGATATTAGGACTACTGAACATTAGTGCTCTTTCCAAAAAAATGCTGAAAATACACTACAGATTCTTTTTCTCTTGCCTGCCTTAGGGAGAGAACAAAAATTGTACGTGAGTTAGTCTTTTTATAATTAAAATGGATTTCTATTTTGAGGATCAAAACTCTATAATCTCATAATTGAAGAGAATTTTCTCCCCCATGCAGAGCTACCTTAAGAGTCTTTGTATCTTTCTGGAATAGAACCCAGTTAAACTCTAAATAGATATTTTAAAAGAAGGGGTAGTTTTGGTGAATTTGAGATTTAGAAAGAATAGATGAAAAAACTGGTTGCAGAGACTGAAAGGTTATCAAAGATGGGTTGGGAGAGATCCCACAAAAATATGCATGCAAAAGTAATATGAGGGTATTTCTTAAAGGTTTGAAGAAGAACCTCCTGGTTTGGTTGATTTACAACCAGAATACAGATACGTATCAATAAAAAGTGGCTTTATGCCTAAGGCTCACACAAGCAACTGTTAATGAACAGCTAGCCATTTTCTTTAAAGCCCTTTTCTCCACCATGTCAAGAAACATGTAAACAAGTCTTAAACTTCAGTACTCTCAGTTCTTAAATGCCTACCTCTATCTCTACTACGGTAGGTAGATGTGTTTTTTATACTTCGTTCATTTGTGTATCACTGACATTATTTTTGTTATAACCACATTATCCCTGATATATTAATGATGTATATGTATGATCTCTTTAAAAAAGCCCTTTTCAGTTAACTAAGTCTTTATACTAAGCAATAATATTAGTAAAAATCTTAAGTTTATATATATATTTATAAATACATTTTTATATTAATAATTTTATGTTTTTCTAATATGTATTATAATAACTACATGATTAATTAAGTAAAAACCTTTAATCTTTAAATAATTTTAAGTACCACACTTTGGGAACACTGGCCTATAGAATATATGGTCATCTATAAAAAAGAAGATAACAATTACCTACATTAAAACAAATGAGATATCAATAAAAGCACTTTGTAAAGTGCAAAGTATTTCACACACACACAGAGTTCTCCCCTTACTGGATTTTAAAAGCAGAGGAAAATAAATTGCTTTAGTATGTTAGAGAAAATAGTTTAACCATAAGGTTTTTATTTGATATATGTACACCTGAAAGACAAAAGAATGTGGTTCTGAGTCTTAATAAATTAATAGAAAGTCAATATTTAAAAGAGACAAATGTCTCTTTAATTTTATTATCTTATTTTAGCACATAGGACACAGGAAAGCTGCTTTTCTGTGAAACTAGGATTTTCTATTCAATAGCAGTTTGAGATAGAGTAGCTACTAAAACTAATAACTTTACTGTCTGGAATTTATTACTTCGAGGTAGCTAATTCAATAGGTTTCTCCTTTAGATAAATAACAAGATATTGCTTGAATGAACTTTCTTTTCCTGTGATTTGTTATGGGCAACTATTTATCAAGTGCCTATAAATGCACTGCAAACTAATGGTATTCCTAAGAACACACTAAGGAAAGATCTCAGCCCCTAAAAACATATTAAAAACAACAACTCCTTAGGGTAATACAGGCTTTTAACTGTTAAGTGAGAAGCTGTAAAATCAAGAATTTTTTCATTCTGAGATAGAGCAGGGAAATGGGACAAGGGTCATGCCATTGTAAAATCTACTTAGCCTGCAAAAAAGTCCCAGCTTATTCTTTAACTTTATCTATATGCTGTTCTTCCTTTTCTTCAAGCCCCCTTAATCAGTTAAGAAATTTTATAACCAGGACAGGAGAGAGACCTCTGAAGTGTAAATGAACCTATGTGGATAAAGAATGACAGGATCCGACTAAGACAGTCACCTAAATAACCCTATTCTTAGGACAAAACTTCAAAGGAATTATGAATCATCTCTATATGTCATGCCTTATGCTGACCCCTCCCACCAAAGGGTCCTATAAAACCCCAAACCCTAACCTTTAAGCGTGTCTCCTCTCTGAGGTTGCCCACACTCCCGTCTGAATGTGTACTATCTTATATCAAATAAACTCTCTTGTTGCATAAGCTGACTGCACTTGTCTCTGAATTCTCTTCCATAACAAAGACAAGAAATCTTCAACCTCCATCTCTGGTGGTAAAAGTCTTTGTCATTTTGCTATTTCATTGAGATGTCTAGACTTAAGCATATGTCTTCACTCTCTCTACCCTACTTCAGACAAGTAGGAAAGGGCTACTGACATCTCGGATCTGGGCTTTCAAGTTCCCATTGCCTAGGTGAACTGTATAAGATTGCGGCTGTAACCATTATGCTCTTTAGTAGTCTGCCTGAAAATCTTTCTTTGCATTGGGAAGTTCAAAGCCTAATTCACTCCATCCAGTGCTCTGTGGCTCCCCCAAATCATGGGGTGTTAGAGGCTTAGTTCCCAGGCTGTGCAGGTTCAAGAGGACTCTGGATGCCAGGTGACTGGCTTTAGGAGATGGCAAGGGATTTGCTCTATGCTGAGCAGGAGTTCAATGAACTTTCCTTTCCTCCCTCTGCTCTCCCTTGCTCTCTGCTGCCTGCATAGCTGCTGCCATTCACTACTACTATTATTTAATGAATTCCTTCCTTACCCACACTCGTCCAACCTGTTTGATTATTCTTTCTCAATCAGAGTATCAGAGTCAAGAACCCTCTCTTGCCTGGGTTGAGATTTCACCTAGTGTACAGGACAGACCTCCCCAGACGCAGCTGCTTGACAATAATTTCACTGGTGATGGTGGTAGCTACCTTATCTTCAGAAGGACTATCAATATCAGTAATCCAGTGATCAGGAAAGACTATTCAGTGGGACAATGGAAACTGGGCATTTGGGTCTATTCCTATTTTACTGGTTGAATCTGATCTTGAACTACTTCCCAATATATCCTAGCACTTTGCATAACATACGGTAGGTGGTCACTAACTTTTGGAAAAAACAGACTATTCCTTGTCTTCATGATTAGACCTTTACATAATTATAGAGACAGAAAGTAAATATTGAATGAATCAAAAATAGTTACTGTGTTATACTGGAAGAAAAGAGAGGTGATTTTTGTTTCAAAATTATTCTTTGTTGTAATACATTCTTCACATGAAAAAACTATATACTATCTTCTACCTTTTTCTATTGGACTCATGTGTGCTTATTTCCCAATTAGACTGTCAATCCTTGAGGCATGGCACCATATCATATGGATTTTTAAATGGTAGTAACTATATATATGCACAATAGATGCTCCATAAAACACTATTCATTTATTGATACTCTGGATTTCTTTTATAATTCATTATTGAAGTATAAATTTAAAAATTTATTACTAAGACAAAGATATTGTTTTTCCTTTGGTCCTTTGGAAATAGGCTTTTTCCTCAATGGTTGTTCCATTTCTTTTACAAGCTGGATAGATAGCAAAATTTACCATCTCTAGTTTAGAGTCAAAGAAATTGAGAAGAGAAGTTGTAAGTGGTTCGGATCACATTTTGCTTAGCTACAGCCTTTGGAAGAGCATTTATATCCACTGACTTTCAACAGTGGATCATTAAAGAAAATGAGGGATGAAACATACAAAAAGAAAAGGAGCAGGAATTCCTATCAGGAGTATCTCCCTTTGAGAAAGAAGATATATAGGGTTTCTCTGGGAAAAATAATAATGCTACAGGGCAAAAGGGGCAGAGACAGCAGTTTCACTGATTCTACAATGAGTCATAGCCTGGCTATTTGAGGACAATTGAGAACAGGCCGGGTTCCTGTTCTTTGCTCATATTTAATAGATATAAGTAAGACTTGTTGGTTTCTGCTTCTCCATAGTCTGAAACAGTCAGGTTCCCCTAAATGAGTAACATTGAAAAAAGGGCTGGCTACATTAATAAGTAAACTCTAAGAGTTCTTGAAGAGGTTGGTAGGAGAGGGTTCAACAAATCCAAATGTGAAAACTGCAGCATCATCTTGATAGGCTTGTCAAATACCTATTGTAAGAAGTCCTCAAATTTAAATTTTCAAATTCAAATTTTAAGGTTAGGTAACATGAGTTCAAGATATAGCATATTTTGTGAATAAAGTCTATTACACACTTAGAGTACATGATACCTAAAGAACAAAATGTAGTGGAAAATTAGGAACAAAAAGAATCCGATAAGAAGCCAAAAAGGGTAAAAAAAAAAAATTAAAAGACAGTTTCCTGAAAAAAAATTCCTTCTCTGAAGTTTGCTTCACTAGGATTTTATTTCCTTCCCACTCAGTAGACAGAGACTGAAACTAGTTAGGCTGCCAGCAGTGGTTGCTCCTTTGTGCTCAGATACAAATGGAATTTGCATGGGACAAAGCCACTGGTGATTACAGACGCCTACAGAACAGTTGCCACAAAGAAATCCTCTAGTTTTTGGGAGAGAAGAATTCCCCGACACAATTTGCAATTAAAATGTGTAAAGGAATTTGCCTAAAAAATGTGCTGATTATATAGAACTTCAGAGTTCTTCATGGGGGTGAGATAAGAAAAGCAAGCAAGAAACAGAAAGATAAGGAATAAAAAAAATAATGTGTAAGTTTAAAAGAATAAACCATCTGCACAGAAAAAGTATAGAAAAAAACAGAAACTTGAGTAATCAAAATACAGTGATTTATGCCTTAACTGATATGACAGTGGCAGTACCAGTACCAGCAAAGGCACAAAGGTGAGTATTTGTGCTGGGACATCTCACTGGGGCTGTGCCACACTTTGTGACAATATAATATAGACATTCCCCAACTCGTTAATGGCTGGGGTACAAAAGATTTTAAACTGGTTTGGAGACGATGTGTTTCCTACTCCCATCTGCCCAGAGAGCCTTCTATTCACCCACAGAAACATGTGCTGAGTGCTTATGTGATAGGTGTTATATTTTCCGACAGGACAAATACTGTAAGTGATAATTGATTAGAGATGATTTCACAAAAGGTTAATTTATAATATTGAATAAACAATCAGTATGACTCATGGGCCCTGGGAATTAAGGATTACCTGGCACATGAGGAATGGGTAAGCTTTCCTCTTTTCTGTCCAGGGATGGGCTTAAGTCAGCTTTCGAAAAGCACATGGAAGGCCCTTTCCCCTATCCTGTCCTTCTCTGCCAATCTGATACTATTTTCTTCACCCATCTCATCCTCAGAGCCCTCATGCTGCACTAGGACTCCAAGAAGATGCTGACCTGCACACAGTATTTCATCTGTAACATTACTTACCTTTCTTTTCACCTCTCAATAAACACTTTGATTCTCTGAAAGTAGTTGATCTCAACTAGCAAAAAAGCAATGTGTAAACTAAATCATAATATGGTGTGAATGACTGATAGCTTCCTAACATACACATTAAAAATATATATATATGAACTATATAAAAAAGATACATAAGTATTTAATAAGCCTTTTCATTATAGATTATCTTTCTTCCCTTGCTTTAAATGAAAAGACTTATTACATCAAACGAATTGGTCAAAGTTTGGGAACTATAACAAAGTAGAAATGAAAAATTTAAGACTCAAGGAAAACTTTATTTCAAAGGAAAGAATTACCAGCTGGGAGCTATTGCCCAGGAAGTCAGCTAGCAGAATTGGCTTAAGTTAGTCATGCTCTTCATCCTTCCTTTACTTCTGTATCTATGGATTCTGTAAATCATCTAATTTTTTTTAAAACAATAACTTTCAAAGTAGGGTCAAGAGCTCTGATCAAAGCAAAGTGGAGGCAGAAGAGCCAAATCAGTAAACGCCTACCTACAAAAATGTAAACACGTTAAAAGAGATCTGTTGGGGTTTCACTGTAGCCTCCTCTGACCAGCGACCTTGCTGGCAGGAGGATTTGTCATAGAGCTCTTGTAATCTAATCACACAGCTCCCTAATACTCATTTAGATTTCAAAAAAATTCAACAGATGCAAAGATTTTTAGGAGAACTATCTTTTTAAGATTAAATATATATATATAAATACACATTCTTAAGATTATTAGTTTGTTTCGAAGGAACAAAACAGCAGCAGACTCACAGACTCCAAGAAGGGACTAGCGGTTACCAAAAGGAAGAGGTGGGGAGGAGGGTGGGGAGGGAGGGAGAAGGGGATTGAGGGGCACAGTACTCACAATCACAAAATAGGTAGGTCACAGGGAAGGCAGTACAGCACGGGGAAGACAAGTAATGACTCTATAGCATCTTACTACACCGAGACAGTAACTGTAATGGGTGGGGGGGGGATGAGACTTGATATTATGGGTGAATGTTGAAACCACAATGTTGTTCATGTGAAGCCTTCACAAGATTGTCTATCAATGATAATATAATTAAAAAAAGATTATTAGTTTGTTTCAAAGAACAAAATATGTATTGGTGCCTAAAAATATAATATGTAAGGAAGACATGATTACATTCTTGGGAAACCTTTTTTATTTCTCAAAAACAAAAAAATCTGGAAATCTTATATGTAAACATGTAAACAGAAATGCAAGGGATTTGTAAATGTTTAGAATACTTGTCAGCCACCTGTGTTTCTTTTTTACCTGTCTCCTTTACCTCACCTCTGTAGGTGCTCAGTTGTTTATTCTTCTAGCTATTTCCAGGAAAAGGCACAAGGGACTGGATATTTCTAGAGGGAGCTGGGGGATGGAGCTGAGAGCAGTTACATTAAACTCTTGGCTCACAATGTACAACTTTATTCTGGAAGCTTAAGAAAAAAAATTCAGAAGGATTAATGTCCAGATTCCTAAAATATATTCTAGTTGATTTCGCCTATAGATTTCATAAAGTGTCTAATATCCAACATCAGAGATCTGTTCTCAGTGCCAACTGAGGTGGCAGCTCTGCGGCTGGAAGAGAAGGAAAGACCCCTGCGTGGCTGTGGTTAATATGCCAGTCCTCCTAAGGACAATGAGTCAAGCTACATTTGCTGCCTCACCTAGCCAGAAGCTCCCAAACTTCTCATTTCCTTTTTCCATTTAAAGGTTGCAGAAATATTTCTAAGTGGAAACCTTGTTAGTAATTGGATTTCCCCAGTGATTTCTATTAGAAGAACCAAGGAAACTGTTGGACCAAGAAGAAGCCAGACCCCTTTAGCACTCACCCCGACCTGTTGAGTCTGTTGTCTCTGGATTGCTCTCACTTTGGGAACAGGGCTCTCTCTGGAGGAAGAAGACTGCTGCCGGGACCGGCTCCCATTCTGCACGGGTTCAGCCACCAGGGCTGCAGATGCCGCAGACATGCTCCCTGTGCTTCGCAAGGATGCACTGTGGGGCAGGGATGGCGCTGCTTTGGCTCGGGCACCTAACCCAGCCTGTTCCATTTTTCGGATTTGGGCCTGCCCAGTACTGTTTTGCCGTGGCAGAGCAAGAGGTATGTGTCTGTCTGGCACAGTGTGCCGCCTGGAGAAGTCCTCACTTTGAGTGCTACGTTTGGTGAAATCCTCCATGCTGCTATTGCTGGGTCCGCTGAGTTTGAAGTCCTCACTGTTACTTTGGCTTCTGGAACTGGCAGTGCTTAGATTCTCCAAACTGGAATCCACAGAGGCCTTTGGCATTGCTGGCATTGGGTTATTGAGGTGATAGACAGGGTTCTGGAATGACAAGGGTTGGAGGCTGCCTGGCTGGTTCAAAGCTGGGTGCAGGGGCCTCCTCACCTGGGGTGCACTCTGGGGAGTGCTCTGGGTTTCCCGCAGTTGTTTGATGCCAGCCCCCTGGGTCATGGAGAGCTGGCTTCCGGTCAAGCGCATAGGCACATCGAGCACAGCAGGCGCATGCTCCCCCTGAGCAGCACGAGTGTCCTGAAGGTCCATGAGGGAGATGCTTCGGCCATTGGGAAGGCTACTTTCCTTTTCATCCTTTTCAGAATAAGTCATGCTCTGGGAAGAGGCTTGCTGAACCAGCAATAATGTTTTCCCTCGGAAATAGCCATCCGTGTTTTCCTGGCTTGGAGATTTCAGTTTATGCAAGTCACTGTGGAAAAGGAAAGAACCTTTAATTACTTTTGAGGCAAATTCAGTATAGGTAGGATTCCTCAGTTCAGCCATAGGAGCTCTTCTGAAGGCTCAAAGGCCCAAAGTGGTTTCTAAACTCAGATTTCATTGTTATAATTCTTAGAATAAAATCCAACATTTTTTGGTGTTTTTCTCCAAAGGTGAAGAATAACACTGTAACCACCCCATCACTGTCTTCTAGAATGCCAGTCACTTCCTAGTTAGGTTTTAACCCCCACCAAAGTATTCCAACTCATAGTTAATTGGTTCTGTCTAAACCTTCAAGAGAAGATCTGAGGGTATAAGCAAAGGGTCCCAGCTAAAGAGACAAGTTTTGACAATGCAGAAAACAAAGTTAAGCATCAACATTTAATCTATGTACCCAGCAAACACCGCCAGTTGTAAAATGATTTTAACTGAGATTCTTTAGATTTGTGTTATGATATATGAAAATATCAGTATCACAGAGCCCTTAGTATTCCATTAAACAGGATAGTTTATTTTTACACATTTGTTGACTCCATTATAACTCTAAAACATCATCCTAAAAAATAAGTATCCTAGGTCTTGTGTATTATTATGACAATTGGATTTCTCTCAGATTATATGGTTCTTTCCAACTGATCATGACTTTGAAGTTGTAAATTCAGTAAATAAGTTAAATAGATTTCTGCCAAATCTCTTTCTTTCTGAGACAGTAGTTCAAATTCCATCATACCTGTCAATGGGGTCTTCAAATATTTTCTGCAGCCCAGAGGAGAGACTTCCACTGACATTTGGGCTGGAGCTATGCTCAGTGACGCGTCTCAGTTGCTGTTGTATTGGTGTAGGGTTAGTCAGAGATTTGGTAATATCGGCAAGAATACGAGGGAGAGGTCCCAATTTTGCCACGGTTGCCTGTAGGAAGGAATTTTCACCCTAATTGGATAATAAGCATTGCGACATCCACCAAAGATTGTTTGTGGGACAACGATGATGCCCATTGATGGAAGGGTGCAGGTTGGAGGGGAGGGTAGGTGTTTGCATATGGGAGTGGCAGGTTCATAGTGTGGTTATGGAGCAGCGGGATCATGGCGTCGAGATGAATGGAGGAGGCGAAACAAGGTGCAGCAGACATCGAGGAAAGAAAGGAAATAGAAATTAGGATTATGCAAATAAAAATTAAAAGACATGCTCAAAACAACCAAACTAATGCCATTCCAACTAAAATAGGCATGCAAAGCAAACTAAATCTTTGGGGGCTAGCAGATGAAGGTGGGGGAGGGTGGGGAAGAACCAAACACCTTCTAAGCAAAAGGGACCTCAAGACGAAAAGGATTGGCTAGTATGATGAAACTTTCAAAGAAAAGGGACTGTGAGAAAAGAAATGCATGCCAACATACAGGAAGGTGTTGCATTCAGGGGTCCAGAACACTGCAGGGCACACAGTTGAAATTGCCATCCATTATCCCATGTACTCTTGGGAACCGTGACCTATTGCCAACTGGGTTTGCATCAGCAAGACAATTTTTTTTTTAACAGCAAAATCAGTAAACTCTCTCTATGAGAAATGTCTAGATATACTTCTGGTTCCCAGGACCAACCACAGGTTTAAAAGGAGAAGTGTGTTTACACAGCAAAGCCTGATAAAAAGACCCTGACCCCTGAATAAACCAAGCCTATTTTATAAATAACTGTATTTACATCCCACTGATGCAGTTATTCAACAAAGAGTAACTTTTCTGTACTTATGCTTTATAAACCTAAATCATTTTTTCCTTTGGGGAGTTCTTCTACTCATGGAGTCTTATTGGACCCCCAATTGTAGGGCAGTTTTAAATGGCTGCCGTTGGGTCTCCTGTCTTCTCAACAGTCAGAATAGACTCTTCAGCCCTGCTCAAATGGGTACAATGTCTCCTCAAATGCTACCTGAAGAACGCCTTTACTTGCTCAACTTTCTTGAGCCATGCACGATCCATATTCAAGGAATTTACCCTCAGCATAGCGGCAACTTAAAATTTAGCTGTCATTTCTAAAAGTAAAAAAGGGATCCTCAAGAATAAGGAACAGTTCATTATTTTACAAGTATTTTAAGCACCAGTGGACACCCTACCATTTACATTTCCTCACGCAAGTGGTCTTTATTAATAGGTTTCACTCTCCCAACACCATTTTGTTGGTGCAACATTTTTAAGGATAATAGGAAAATGGAGGAAAACAAGATCTTGTCACAGAAAAATAACTTTGTCTTTTGAAGTTATTCTAACATACCACCACACATATTTATAAAGCACCTGTATCAAACAAAAACATCAATAAGTAATTACTGTGACAAACCTAGCCAAAAACAAAAGACTATTTTCCATTACAATGTCTATTCTTTTTTGTAAAATTTCAGAAGAAAATTATTGAATTGGCATGGTGTGTATATATATATATATATGTATATATATATGTATTTAGCTATTAATATAATAAATTCTTAGCTTACAGTCAGAAAATAAATTATTAAAAATGATAGCTGTTTTCTGTATTCTCACTTCCCATCTGTAGAGAAAGAAAACTTTGGGATTTTCAGATCCTATGTAACTATAGTGCTAACAGTTATATTAAACCCTCTGACTTGCATTAAAAAAAAATCTCTTGGGTAAAGCTAATTAAACATGATAATCTCAATATTTTTCTAAGTCTACACTTTTGTTAGAAATTGCTATATGTGGTTTAATCTAATCCTACTCTACCTGAATAAGGCTATACACACAATATCTTGTATTAGTTTCTAGGGAATTTTTAGATGTTATATACATTTACTCATTTATAGAAATATATACCCCATTAGTTCAGGTAATTACTTAAAAATATATGCTAATAATTTTATGGATTTCTAGAATTTCCTGGTTTGCAGGGCACATATTTTACTCAGAAATGATAACCATTTACTTCCAGACTTCTAAGGATAAGAGGTTGCTTCCAACTAGCAGACAGCTGAGTGCTCTATCACTCTGTGGCAACTCTCCAGAATTCAGATACATTACGGTTTTCTCTCTCCCAGCTCCCATTACTAACCTTCCAGCCTACTTTACCTTATCAAGTTGGGACACTACTTCCCATAGTAAGGAATGCAAAACTGAAAGCTCTCGGCCCAGGTCAATGTAACCATCAAAGCCTGGGGTATTTGAGATGGTGTCTGGATTAGAGATCTCCAAAAGAAACCGCTTCATTCCACCCCATTCATGTTCTAAAAAATCATTCATGAATGCCATGTATTCTTCTTTGTTACCAAATCTGAAGTACAGGGAGAGAAATGAGAGAGAACATTTAGGAAAAGAGATGTGATCATTTTCAGTTGACTATATACCAACCTATAACACTTTTTATTTGGGGGAGGTAAATAATTTGTTTATTATTTATAAGTGATAAATGCTAAAACATGTTTTCTTAATACTACTTTAATACTCAAAACCTTTAATTAGCTTTCTGTTTTCTGTTGGGTAAAGCTAAAACTTTTTTTTCTGGTACTTAAAGTTCTCTGTAATATAGTTTTCATTTACCTCTAAATGCTCATCAGTATTAACCTTAAATATTGTAGGTTCTTAAAAGTCTCCCAAATACATTATATTCTTTTTCTTCTTCAAATCTTTGCTCATGCTATCTATTTCTGCTAAAGAAGAACTTCTCTTTGCCTTTAGAGATTCTAGCTTACTTCAGGACCTTTTTTAAGTCCACAGAACTTGTTCCAAAATAAACTAGAACTGCTGTTTTAAGAATTAGCTCAAATATGGATAAATATGTATATTTCTGCATTGGTTTATTATAAGGTACACAAAGTTAAAACAGTGCATGTCTGAAGAGCCACTGTTCATACAGAAAACAATCTGTCTCATAGAAGTTCTAATTTTTTCAACACATTGCTAATAGAATCTTGTCTTTAAGCTCCAACATTGAGTAAACCTGTGATTAGTTCTGCCAGTGTGAATCCTTTCTCAGTGACTGCTTAAAATTATTTTCCAGGAATTAAAAAATTATACAAACTTGGGAAAAAATTGGAAACAATGGAATGTGGAAAGAAATAAGTTTGAGTGTACAACTCTACCACCTAAACATATCTGCTGCTTACATTTGAGTGCATTTCCCTTGTTTTGTAACTTCCTTTAAAAAAATTTAAATCTATGGAAAATTTGAAAGAACATACTGAACACCCATATGCCGTTCATCTACATTAACTGTTAACATTTTGCCAGGTTTACTTTCACTCTTTCTCTACATATACATATGCTTTTTTCTTTTTATGCTGGACTATTTTAAACTAAGTTGCAGACATAACCTCTAAATACATTAGCACCCACCCATTTCTCCAGAATAAGGAATAGGTCTTACATAAACCAATGCTATTATCATGCTAAAGCTTTTAGAAACATTATTCATAAATTATCTTATATATAGTCCATATTTAATTGCTCCCAAAATGATTTTTATAGATTTTTTTTCTAATTCAGATCCAATTAAGATTTAAATATTGCATTTAGTCTCTTTCAATCTATTACAGTCCCCTCTATCTTTTCTGCTTTTCATTACACTGACATTTTGGAAGGGGCTGGGCCAATTGTCTTAGACAATGTAACTACAGAATTTGATTGTTCTTCCCAACTTTTTATACTTAGATTTTTATGTTATCATATTGCTGGGATAACAGCCTATGCCCCATTTGGTATTCCCTCCCCCTTTTTTTTCCTGGCTAGAGTTTCTAATAGCACTTTTCATTAAATACAATTATATCTTCATCAGTTCCATATTATTGGATATTCTTTGTAAACACTATTTGTAGTGGCTGCAGATAGTCTACTGAATGCATGTGCCATAGGTTACTTAACCATTCCTCTATAACATGAATGTTAAAGTTGTTTCCAATTTTTTCTTGCTATTTTAAACAATACCACAAAAATCTTGTAACATGAATTTTGAGGCTTCCCTCTCCTAACCAAAATTTAGGACTCATGCATTTTTAAGTAACGTTTTTTAAAAAGTGGTTATGGCAGCAACACCTACTTGGCAAAGTTTGCCAGGTTTTGAATGACCTTGGCAATTAGAGTCAGAGTCCGAGATGTGCGGTCATCAGGATACTCCTGCATAAGGTTGAAAAGACTGGGAGACATAATGGCTGGGCACAGAAAACGGAGAAACAGCGAGGCACTGATGAGTCGCTCGCTGATGTCTTGCTTGCCGCGGTTCAAGCACTGCTGCTTCCAAGATGCAAATACTTCTTTCAGTTCCCGAGGGAAAACACTGGCGAAAGGAAGATTAAAACCTCTAAATACGAAAGTATCATAACCCCAGAAAGCACAAGCAATTCCCCTCTGGCCCAACACAACTCTGCTCTAGAGCCAGGCTCTGAGGAGGGCTTAGTGGAAATAGCTCTGCCAATTCATGGCTGAGAGGTGGTGGCCGATTCATGGAAGTGATGGAGACTGGAAACCCAAAGCTACAAAACTTAGGGATGGGTGTAAATTTCATTTTGCAAAGTGGGCAAATGGCATGAAGCTCCTGACTAAACCACCTGGCCTAACATAGCTCACCATAACCTCTAAGACTGTTCACCCAAAATCTCCCCAAATCTCACCAACTGCTCGGGTTGGGGCAATGATCAAAGGATCATAGGTCATTACCATATCTTGAACACTACTAAGTATTTTAGAAAGCCACTAAATACTTTGGCATTAGAGGATGTGGTGCTAACGTAGATAGTTCAGAGGTATTTCTGTTTGCAGGGAGACTGAGGTTTTAGGCAGGATCGTATTAGGGAAACTTTCAGTTTTTCCCCTAAGCCCTTCCTAGGCCTGGGAAGTAACAGTTAACACTGCAATGGCTTTTATAAGGAAAAATGTAGTTCCATAAGCAGAGGATGCAGCACTGACACCTGCTCACCAGTAGGAGTTGATGATCTTGCAGAAAGCCAGCTCACAGCACATTTTCAGGTTGCTCTGATGGTCTATCAGCTCGCCAGATGAACATTTGCTGGGATCCACTTCACAGTTTTCATCTGACTCATACAAAGCTTTGATGAACTCCCCTATTTGAAGTGAAAAAATGACAGACAGTGTAACTATATATAGTGTGTCTTCCAGTCCTACAGTATATAATGGGGAATTCTTTCTGAGACCTGACATGGAGAACATGAGGTTGTCCACAAAGGGTTACTGCTTTGGAACCCATGAGTGACTGCCTCCCATGTATCACATTTATTTTCCTTATGCTGGAGTGGGAAAACAGCAATCACTAACATCATCATTGTGGTACTTATAATATTACTTTAAACAATGATACAACTTTAAATCTTTTATCTGAAACTGCAAATATATTTAATTAGCAGGAACTTGTTATCTAAGGCCCCTCTTGGTTAATAAGGCCCCCCTTAGGTTAATAATGTTAATGTTTTAGGAGAAAAAATAACTCAAACTTGATGAATAGCACGCCTAAGGTTTTAAGTGGTAATGCAGATCCCAAATAGAGATTCCAGTAAGGGTTTCAGGCTTACCTCTTGCAATGGGGATAGTTGTTCAACGTAGGACAGAATTATACCAGAACATCTCTTTACATAATCTGTATATGTTTTTCCAAATAAATGTAGCTTAGACGTCCTGTTCATAAACCCTGTTCTCTACAGACATATGCCCAACATTCCCTGAAAGAACAAATCTTTACCATACCTGTTTACCTTCAATTACACAATATACCTTACATATGTTCTACTGTTCCATGTTTCACACAGTTTTGTGCATGTTTGTTCACATGTGTGTAACATCTCTAGGATGAATAACCTTGGAGCTCAGGGCCCACATTCTGTTCATGTTCAGATCTCTAGCCTGAAAAATAGATCCTCAAGCATTGCAAGTGCTTGATAAATATTTATCAGCAATGGTAGCATATATTCTTGGGTTTTTATAGGTCTTTACAAAACAGGAGTTGATCTTTCAAGGATCCTTTCAAATATGCTCTATTACTCAAAGGTTCAGGCTAGTTATAATATCTCATGAGAGTGAACAATATTTCTACAAAATTAAGTAGCAGCAGCAATATGAAGAGAATTTCCTATCAAAATGGTTGATAGTGAGGTAAATGAAAGACTTAAAAAAATAGCTAATGGTAGAGGACAGGAAGCGGTTACTTGGAAGAAAAATGCCTTGAGAACAGAAACTAAGTGGTACACAAGAAAAGTAAAAGCTTTGGAGCCAAGGAGATCTAAGATCAAATCCTGCACCCATCATATAACTGACTGTGGGGCCTTGAAAAGTCACTTAAGTTGTCTGAGTTTCAGTTGCCCTATTTGTAAAATGGAGCTAATAACTCCCACCTTATAAGCTGTGTTTCATGCCCCAGATAATGCGTCTAACATGGTGCCTGGCATTCAGCAGGGGCTCTGTACAATGAGCATCATTATGTACAAGCGATGCAATTTTACAATAATTTTTTATAAAGTGAAATGACCAAAACAAAAATGTTTACCAGTTCTTATAAGATTCATATTTTACATGTTCTCAATATCTGCTATGCCTTCACACAATTTACCTAGATTTTTAAAGAGTAGCTAAATTTAAAGCTAAGATATTAATATCAAATAAGCCACATAAAACTGGCCCACTCTAAATTTCTGTCACAAATATGCTGTTTAGTGATTTCCTTAAGGTTATATCTATCCTAGGGAAATAATACTAATATTAAAAAATAACTCATGAATTTTAGGAAAATTTCCTTTTGTTCTTCAAGAAAAGAGCCAAATAAATAACTCAAGTATCCTGAGTTAACCCTCTGAAGGGTTTTTTAAACCTGGTTATGATATATTTAAAATCCTCTAAATTTGAGAATATTATTTTCACTTTTCAAACTTTAACCTGTGTCTAATAATGGGGGAAGTACCGCACTGAAAAGGTGAACCTTTCATAGATTCATACTTACAAGCCACTCATCTGATCAAAAATTGAGACAGATTCAATAATCCATTGATGTTTGCTCTCCTGCCTCTGAAAAAGATCAGAGCTGAAGAAGGTGCTACATGTTGTTTAAATGAGTTTGTGCTTAAAATGTTCTTTGGTGTGTTTTCTATGTAAAGCATTACCTCATTACTATCCAGTATTCAATCTGCCCACATAGAAAGAACTAAGTCAGTAAGTATGGACAATTATTGCTAAAAAAGATGCTTCTGCCACCAAAGATGGAAATCAGGCCTTTTTAGGGACTTCTCTATTTCTCTCAGATGGTATTTCCAGTGTGTCACAGGGTATCAACACTCAATCGGATCTCAATCAGAAAGGCTAAAAGAATTAACAGTTGGAAGATTTAAGTCTAACTGAGGCAGAGTCTGTACAGCTAATAAAATGGGTTAATCATGATAAACCAAGATTGCACAATTGGCAACTTTCAACTTAATTTTCTCTGAGAATTCTTCAGATAGTATACAAATAGCATCAATTTTTTTTTTTTCCGAACTATATGAAATTAACGAAACTTTATTCAGAGTGCTCAGCTATACTTAGGAAGTTTTTGGTTTACTGAGACTTCACTGTGAAGCCTCTTTTATTTACTATGTATTATGAAATCTTCCTTAATTGTGTATTAGAGTCTCCTGTCATAGCAAGCACAGTATCATATGATGAAAATAATTGAATCCTTCTCAGGTAATTTTGTAGTTCTTCTCTGAAAATTTTGTAGTTCTTCAGGGTTACTACTTGAAAAACCAATTATTACTGTCTTGAACCATACAAATGTCAATTTACATTGACTGACATTCTGTAAGTTGTTTTGAAAATAAAATTTGTCATAAAAATAAAATATGGGAGGGAGGTGGAGCCAGGATGGCGGCGTGAGTAGAGCAGTGGAAATCTCCTCCCAAAAACACATAGAGCTATGAAAATATACCAAAGAAAAATCTTCCTAAAATAGAGACCACAGGACACAGGACAACATCCAGACCACATCCACACCTGCAAGAACCCAGCGCCTTGCGAAGGG